CAGAATGCAATCAACAAGACACCTCAGGCCTTCAAGGAGGCTGAAGCCCAGCATGAACAGGCGGCAATGAGGGGGCGGGTGCAATGAAAGCACACATGGAGGTCATCATGGAAGACCTCAGGGTGTGTAAGAAGAAATCACCTGTAAATCTTTTTTTAAGTGTGAGGAAGCAACAAAGTCAAACAGGAATGAGAGGGAGATATGGTGTTCAGGGAGAGAGAAGTGAGAGTTTGAGCTGAGTACCAAGGGCTATGGCAAGAAATGAAACTGGGAAGAGAAACAGGGACCAGACTATGAAAGGTCTCCTAAATGAAATAGGGAACTTAAGCCTAAGCATCGTCTTTCACTCCTACCCCTCCTGCCACTTCAGGTTTTATTACGAGGGAAAAGAGGAGTCATTATAAAATAATGAGAAACAGAAACTGAAGAAACACTGGAAGAAATCATCTAGACATCAACGAGAAGGCAGGAGCTGCTCTGTGAAAGACAGTATCAAAATTAGAAGACAAGCCAGGCTGGAAGATAATATGTGCAAAAGGATTATCTGATGAAAGACTTTGTAAACCCAAAACACACAAAGAACTCTTAAAACGGAACAAGAAAACAAATAAAAAAATTGGGCCAAAGGCCCTGGGCTGGTGTGGCTCAGTGGACTGAGCACCAGCCTGAAAACCAGAGAGTTTCCAGTTTGATTCCCATTCAGGGTACGTGCCCAGGTTACAAGCCAAGTCCCCAGTAGAGGGTGCACAAGAGACAACCACACACTGATGTTTCCCTCCTAAAAATAAAATCATTAAAAAAAATAAAATCTTTACAGAAAAAATTGGGCCAAAGGCTTTAACAGACATCTTACCAAAGGAAGCACAAACATATGAAAACATGCTCTACATTATCAGGGAAGTGCAAATTAAAACAATATGCTACTACAGTCCTACCAGAATGGCCAAAATCTGACAATGCTAAACCTTGGTAAAGATGCGTAAAACTCATTCACTGATGCAAAATGATGCACTTTGCGAAACAGCTTGGCAATTTCTTACAAAACTAAACATTTTCCCCATACAGTCCAGCAATTGCACTCCTTGGCACTTACTCAAAGGAGTTGAAAACTTTATGTTCACACAAAAACCTGGACATGGATGTTTAGAGCAGCTTTGTTCATAAGTACCAAAACCTGGAAACCACCAAGATGGCCTTTAATATGTGAATGGATAAACTGTAGTACATCCAATAAAACATTATTCAGTGCTAAAAAGAAATATTAAGCCATGAAAATACATGGAGGAAACTTAGACACATATTGCTAAATGAAAGAAGTCAATCTGAAAAGGCTAGATGCTGTGTGATTTTAACTATGACATTCTGAAAAAAGGTAATGCTATGGAGAAAATATAATCAGTGGTGGCCTGGGGTGAGAGTGGGAAGATGAGTAAGCTGAGCACAGAGGATTTTCAGGGCGGTGAACACACTCTGTATAGTGATGGATGTCATAATACTTTTATCCAAACCCATAGAACTTTCACCACCAAGAATGAATCCTAAGATAATTTAGGGACTTTGGATGATTGAGGTATTGGTGTAGGCTCACCTTTGGTTTCAAAATTCAGGTGATGTTGACAATGAGAGACTATGCATCAGAGAGCAGAGAATATATAAAAAATCCCTGAAACGTCCTCTTAATTTCATAAAACTGCTCTCAAAAAATAAGTGGTGCCCTGGCCAGCGTGGCTCAGGTGGTTGAGCGCTGGCCTGCAAACTGAAAGGTTCCACCCCCACTTATGGGCCAGATTTCCGGTTGGGGGTATGTGAGGGGCAACCGTTCAGTATTTCTCTTAGGTGAGATCATCTCACATCATCTCACGTTGATGTTTCTCTCCCTTCCTTCACTCCCTCACCTTTCCCTTAAAAAAAAAAAAAACCCACAAAATCAAGGGCCCTGGCTGGTGTAACTCAGTGGATTGAGAACGGACTGAGATCAAAAGGTCACCAGTTTGATTCCCAGTCAGGGCACATGCCTGGGTTGCTGGACAGGTCCCCAGTGGGGACCACGAGTGTCAACCACACATTGACCTTTCTTTTTTTCCCTCCCTCCCCTTCACTCTAAAGATAAATCTTTTTTTTTAATGTAGGCTTTTATTCTTTATTTTTACAAATATTTATCTTTAGAGGGGAAGGAGAGAGGGAGAGAAACATCAATGTATGGTTGCCTCTAGTACGTCCCCTGCTGAGAACTGGCCTGCAGGGAACTTGCTTGCAACCCAGGCATGTGCCCTGACTGGGAATTGAACTGCGATCCTCTGGTTCGCAGACCTGTGTTCAATCCACTGAGCTACACCAGCCAGGGCTAAAGATAAATCTTTTTTAAAAAAGGGAGTACTGCCCTGGCTGGTGTAGCTCAGTGGATTGAGTGCGGGCTTGTGAACCAGACAATCACAGTTCGATTCCCAGTCAGGGCACATGCCTGGGTTGCAGGCCGGTTCCCTGCAGGCCAGTTCCCAGCAGGGGATGCACGAAAGGCAACCATACATTGATGTTTCTCTCCCTTTCTCCTTCCCTTCCCCTCTAAAAGATAAATAAAATCTTTAAAAAAAAAAAAAAGGGAGTACTTGGTGAGATTCCAGAGCATAGTGAAAGGGGTTAAAGAATGGATACCTAGTCCAAAGCAGTAGCAGTGTAAATACAGGCTTGTAACTATGTTACCTTAGCCTGGCTTTTACTATCTTCAATGAATTTGAATGCAGTCATCAGACATGTGCAATGGCAGTGAATGATGCATTTCATTTGTTCAAATGAATGGGAAAAAATTACTATACCCTTACAAAGAATCACTTTACAGTATCATGAATCCAGCAACTTTAAAAAGTATGATAACACATTATACATCTATAATGTGTAATTGATTCTATGTCGTCCAAAATATCAATTTGTAAGGTTTTGCCTTCAGCAGTATGGCACTATAGGCAATATTCTTTGAAGAGGAAAAAACTAAAACTTTTAGCACCTAATACATGCACCAGACCTCAATGAAGGGGAACTTCCAAGAGTCAGTAGGTGAAAAATGTCATAGGGCAAATGAAGCAAATACATGTTTAAATAATCGTTTGAGGAATGAGCAAGCAGGTCACTGATCTCTCAAAGTCCAGATACAAATAATCTGGGAGAATTAACAGCACACTCACTTCAGACTATTAAACTGTTTCTTTAGAGAACCAGTTACCAGGAAGGTCCTATGTATACAGATAGAAGGGGATTTAGTTATATGAATTAATACTTGTGTGGCATTACCAATTGAGGGGAAATGTCGTCTTACAATTGGGAGAAATGGCAGAAAAATTGAGCTATTTGCAAGAATGTGACCAAGAAAAATAAAGGTCTGAGGTATGAAGGGCTTCCAAAACATTTCAAGTCAGCACCAGTTAAATATTAGTTATAATTTGACCAAATCAGTAACAGGACCGATATATAGCTCCTGACGCCTACGAATCCACATCATTGGGTTGATAGTGATTAAGAATCAGTCAATGACAGCCTGCACTGATGCAAATACACATTTTGGTTTCTTCTGAAGACACGTGGTATGCAAAACCATAGCAAAAAAAAAAAAAAGCAGAACAAGGCGACACCGCGCCCCGGCACCAGTGAGCAGTTTTATGCAAATAGCCAAAGGCAATCCAATTCCTACAGAAAAATGTGTACCCCAAAACCTTTACACCGTAGCCTCTTACCGTTTTCCACAACACTCATTAACGGGCCTCTGTAGTTTTCCAGTCTTTTCCTCTAACATGTTGCAATTTGTCCAAGCCCTAACAATCTGGTAAGACCTAGTTCAAATGCCACCATTCCCCAATGCACGTGTTTATCTTTCTTCAAACTCGACTTCTGTTGGAGGCATTTTCTTGTTAGCATTTTTTGCTTAGACTTTAAACATTTCCCACACTGAAGTCTTTTAGATCTGATGTGGACAAAAGCATGTGTAAAAGTTTCAAATCTTTTTGCTTTTTATTCTTCTTACAAAGGATTGGCATCACATAAACTTCCCAATGACCTTCCAGTCAAATTCATGACAACAGTTGTCTTGAGCCAGGTTCTTCTTACCTTCTAACCTCCTACCCTACCAACTGACCACCTACACACAAAATGAGCTTTTAAAAAAGTATAAACTATGTATTACTCACCAGCTTGAAGTCCTTCAATGACTTCCATTGGAATACGTAGACCTGTGTTTTTGGTCTATCCACCTTCCCATTTACGCACAACACAGTCCCAACCCACCACTCATATTTCATTTTTTTGTTTCTCCAGGGTGGTAAGCTTTTCCATCTTACAGTTTCTGCACCTACTATTCCTTCTGCCTTAATATTTTTCCCCAAGACTTTCTCCAAGGACTGGCTTCTTAAATCCTCAGCTCCATGATCCCTTTTCAGATGCATTTCCTATCTATCTGTACATTGGTTAATGTCTAAGCTATATAGGCATTCACTATATAAAAGCTTTAGGTTTTCAGTAACTGCTTGCCCCCATACCCTACTCCTGCAATATCCAATGGTTGACAAAATTAACCTTTTTCATAGCAACTTTACAAGCCTAGAAAATTATCATTCTAAAAAACTACTTGTTCAACGTCATAAAACAGTCTCAAATATCACACATAAAAATTTTGTTCATCTTTGTAAATAACAGGAACTCAAATGGTCTTAATGGCCACATATAATCTTGGAACAAAGAGACTTGCATTTCATAATGCAGAAGCAAAAATCCTTCTACTTTTAAACAAGAACACAAACTTAAAATTGTTATGGCCTTGGAAATAATAAACTATTTTTCAAATGGTAGTTCTGGTTTCCTCAAAGCCCAGCAACTACCACTGAACCACCTCAAAGGAGAAACAGAAAACTTCAGCGCCTCTTGTGAATTCTAATTATTACATGCTAAGGAACATCTATTTCACCCAAACCCCACCAGTGAACTAAAATTCAACACGAGTAAACACTATGTGATCATTCTTTTTTTTTTTTTTTGCACTAGCTTCCAGGTGATACACCAGAATGTCAAAATGCACTAAATATTACTTATGGAAAAAATTTACACCCCCACAAAAGGCAATGATTAAATTACCAGAGTTTTAATGTTAATTAAAACATTTTTATTCATTGATTTTAGAGAAAGGGGGAGGCAGGGAAAGAGTAACAGATTTGTTGTTCCACTTACACCATTTATTTATAGGTTAATTCTTGTATGTGCCCCGACGGGGGATAGAACCCACAAAAAACTCGGTGTATCAGGATGCCGCTCCAACAAACTGAGCTATCTGGCCAGGGCTAATGTTAAATTTTAGGCTAATTAATTACCACCTTAATTATTGAGTTCATTTACTTACATTAAAAATTACATCCCTATTCACTTTGTTTTGTTAGACTACTTAATCATATACACATGGTCTACCCTCTCTCTGTTTTTTCTCTTCAGTCCTTACCATCACATCCCATGTATGCTTTGTTCTTCTTTCCTTCCTTGCCAGTACAATGCTGGAGCAAAGCCTGAGGATTAAACTGAGGTAAGGGCCTCCTCTTTCCTTTGTGATCACAAAACCCTTTGGGATCTTGTACCACTTCACAAAATAATGCCATATGCTATTTTGGAAAGAAATGGACATACTAAGAAATGTCTCTTTCCCCGGTAGAGTGATGAAATATTTTCACTTTAACTTCCATATATTATCCTCTTACTAATCACAATGTACCAAGGAGAAGGAAAATTCCAAATCTGACCAGCTTTCCCCCTCTTAAAAAGCTGTTTCCATGAAAATCAAGAAATGGATTAACATTTTACTGTAATACAATGATCCCTATAAACATGCCAAAAAGGGCACAAAGATTCGCCCTCTGCACCATTTCTGTGATCAGCTGCCTACTGTCACTTTTAACTAGAGCTGGAAAATAGAAGGTTTAAGTAAATGAAAAGTCATCATTGGGTTTTTACATAGGGATATGTAAATAATTCTTCTGGGAGATGTTTTCTTTACCAGTCACTTATTTTTACTCTGAAAAAAGCTTGAAATATAAAATTAGTATTTAAAGTACTACACAAATGAAAAAGAAAACAAGCCAGACAAAGGAGTAAGGTACATTTCAATTTAATCATTGTGCACACAAGTTTATAAAACTGCTAGCTAGACACACAGACATTAGGTCATAAAGGAGATTCAAGAATTCTTGTTCATGCCTACATATTATCTTAAATTATGAAAATTTGGCTATTTACTCTCATCACTACCACATGCATTTAAAATATACTTACCAAATTTTCAATGTCTGTTTATTCTTGCTAGAAAAGGACAGAGTTCCTTAGACATTTACTCCACTTTTAATCTTAAAGATATAAATTAAGTGTCCATACGCAGTTCAGTACTTCCATCACCACACAGATATCAATTTTCAGATTGTAGAAACTATCATCGTTCATACTAAAAAGCACTGGAGTTGACTGTTCATTGTTGGCTTACAAAGATCAGCAGGAGATACAATGTGAAAACATCCTTAGTGTATACTGACATTAGTTAGGTAGGATGTGGCTAAAGACTAAAGGGGAAGATAAATTAAAAATATACACAGAGGCCAATTTTCACTGGTTGTATACACAGTCCCAGAAACCAGCATTTCTAAATCAAGTTTCTCATGCAAGGTTATTTAAGAATGCAGTGGATATTTTCAAGCCTGATCAAAAATAATCAATTAGCTTACATTACCATATTTTAGGCCAGCCCTCCTCCAACCTTACCCACAGCTTAACTGCTCACAAATCATTGCAACAACAGCTTCAGCAAGGACAGAAATTCTGGTATTTGAATTTTATACCTATGCAATGTGGGAGCCAAAAGTATAGAGAAAAATATTTTGGATGTCAACTAAAAAGAAAATCTTGGGCTTAAAATGATAAATGCTAGATAGTTTTGATTAAACCCCTCCCCCCTATTTCACTATTTATACTTATAGTCTGTTACATGAAGGTCAGAAAAAAGTGAACACAGATTACTAGGGAAATGTCAGGAGGTAAAACAATCACCTTATTCTTAGTGTTCCCAATTCAGGTAATATCTAAAGAGTGTAGAAATTCAAATTGCTCACTCTTTGATGCAAGTGCCCCCTTTCAGGTAAATTTAAAAGAAAACTGACATACAAAAGTATAAAATAGTACTCACCAGAAAGGCAGCTTTAAAGAGATGGTTTTAAGGAAAATCATTCCCACTGTATTTACACCATTTCTTATACAGATTAAACTGTGAAAGGCAATGAAACTTAAGCCCTTAGGCAATTTTTTTATTAAAAACCAAGTGGATATCCTATAAAATATATTTTTTCATCAGTTGACGTTTTTTAAAAATGTAACTCAACGCATGACTTCTGTATAAAACAACATTAAGATAATGTGTTTTTAGTGCCTAATCACCATCCCAGTTTAACAAGAGCACTTTCATGGGCAGAGTCTCTCACTCAAATTAGACATCATTACACTTGGGTGGTAAAGGAGGAAGCCATGCATCCTAGTCAATAATACAGACTGAAAGGATGATTCAGGCCTCTATAAGTTATGCTTTATTCTTCTCCTCAGTATTTTAAATTTTTATAAATATAAGAGTACAATATTTAAAGGTTAAAGGAAATCTCTCATGGATGGGTTAAGACACTTAACAAACTCTGGTAGAACCAATGAAAATAATAATAAATAATTAATTAACATCTTTTACAATCTATCACATCCCCACTGCCCCTCAAAAGAAATAAATGAAGAATCTGTCTAGATTTCTGGATGGGTCGTCAGCTTTCATTTGAATATTAAAAAGTAAGGTTTGTTATTCTTGGCTCAAAGTAAAATGAACCCAACAGAATAGGTTATAGTTTATCAAAGGTGAACTAAATTAGTACTTACAACAAATTACTAAGAACACAAACAACAAAATACCACTTATCATTGCTAAAGATGAGAAAACTTAACTTTTTTTAGGCTGATTCATACCGTAAAAAATCCAAAGATAAATAAATACCACTGAAGTAGCAGCTTAAATAAAGACTCTGGACCCAAAGCCCTGCACTGCTTTAGGACATACCAAACTGAACACAGAGCCAACAGAAACTTTCACTGTCTTGTTCTTTTATGTACAATAGATCTATTTAAGGTCAACCACAACCAAGTAATAAAGGAGGCTAACAAACCTAGAACTAATTGGCCCAAGTACTGAGTGTCTGAAAGTGTCTAATGGGACTGCTGTTATACTCACATTTAAGCAACTGCCCTTCCTTCCTTGTGTGGGTTATATGGATATGTTTGAAAAAAATAGGAACATCAGGTACTTACAGATTAAACTAACCTGTACTGGCAGGGCTGTGGGATTTTTCTTCTCTACCAGTAAGTAGCATATGCTGAAATTCTGCTGCTAGTTAACAAAAACACAAATTGTATTAAACTGAGGAGTTCAACCCATACTTTAAAAAAAGTCAATGTGCATTAAATTTCCTCAGAGTCTGACATTAATACATTTTTAAAAATTTCCCTACGTCTTACAAAAATTACCTTATATTGGCTATTAAATTTAGAATAACCTTAAGAGAATGAGTTAGTAACACTGTATATCTCTAGGACACAGCTCCATTTTAATAAAACTATGTACTCCAATGTGTATTATGTGAAAAGCTTTCTTACTCTAAAAACAGGGGGGACATATACATAGAAAAAAATAATCTCTTCAAATGTGATTAATTTCTAAATTTAAGTATTATGTAGACACACCCCACAGAGGCAAACAATTTTCAATAGTTTTAAATTCAACTTTCATTTCACTTTCTTATTAAGATTGTAAATTACAAAAACATATGCTGAAAAGGAAATTCTATTGCTTCTCCTGAAAGTACACAGAAATAAACTAAGAGATAAAAAGGAGCCTCTGCTCAATAACTATAGACCCCATATTTTTCTAACTCAAACTTACAGAACTTTATTAGCTCTTCTGTTGGATCACTTGGATAGCTGTCTTGTTTTATTATCAGCAAAAATTGGGAAATGATGCTGCAAATTTTATTTTCATTCTCACTAAACTATTTGTAAATACTGAGAATAAGCTACATTATAACTAATTTGGTGAAAAGTTAGTAACAAATGCAAACCAAGCACAAGAATGCTGTTACCTTTCTTTACCTTTTAAGTTCTTAAGTCCAGCAAAACTAAACAATAGCCTCTCCCCCAAATAACCACTACTGGTATGTGTGTAGTGCACTGAGGACATTATTCTTCATCTTTATCAAAGATGGGCATCAATGAATTTCATTGCCAGTTCATCAAAATTAACCAAGGGTGAAGGAATATAGATCGCTAAAAAACCCGACACGTAAGAATGCTAAAAGGGCTTGGAGAATTCCAATAAAGGACTTCCCTTTTTACAAACACAGCATTACAAGCCCCTGACCAAATACATAGCACATTATTGAAGCTGCACCATATCACCACTTTACCCATCAGTAGAGCACTTAGAATTAATGGGTAGGGTCCAAAGAGTCAATCATTGATTGTTTACTCACATGTATCTTCTCTGCAGTTAATTTCATCAAAATAAAACATATACACAAACATATTCTCACAATATAGCTGGTGATTACATGCCTCCTGAAGAACCTAACATTAAACCAGTCTTGATTTATAATATCTAAGTTGCTTCAAATAGAAATAGTTCAAATTAGTTTCAGTGAAGATATCCTGTGGGTCTCCAATCTCTGCCTTAATATGACTTCTACACCTTGCTTAGCAAAATAAAGGTATCTCCACCTGAGGATACATGGCAGATTTAAAGAGCGATGATTCAAAAAAGTGAAAATGACAGTTTCAAAACCCCCCCCTTGGGAAAATGGAAAGCTCTTCCTGTTGTGGCTAAATTATGCAAGAATGTATAGAGCCCAGCAAAGAAAAACAACGTTAATAAAAAGCAATTATTTCTCACCTGAACCTTACTAAGGAAACCTAGTTTAAAAAAAAAATAAAGCTACATTCAGCCTTGGCTGGAGTGAAATGAATGCTGGCCCATGAACCAAAGGGTCACCAACTTTGATTCCCAGTCAGGGCCAACGCCTGGGTTGGGGGCCAGGTCCCCAGTAGGGGATGTGGGATAGGCAACCACACAGTGATGTCTCTCCCTGTCTTTCTCCCTCCTCCCCCCTCTCAAAATAAAAATAAAAAACAAAAAAGCGCTACATTCAAACCTAGTATTTCCCCACAAAAATGCCAAGAACATGAAAATAATTCTTGGAAAAGTTGAAGATATTTACAATATTTGGGAACTCCAAGTCCTGCTTTCCCTGTATCCTATGCATTACTTTGAATTAGGTTCATAATAGAGGATACCTAAGAGCCAAGATATTAAAAGTATACTTCTGAAAATTCAACATTACAAAATTGTGCATATCACCATGTTCATGACAACATATACATTATTAAAGTAACTGCTTATTTGCCAAGAAATGCCACACAGAAAATTAGATGGTTCTATGCTAGAAAAACAAAGGGTTATTTATTAAAATGATTTAGATGACAAAACACTAAGGGGAGGAGCAGTAACCTTCACTAATATTCAAGTCATGAGAAAGCAAGCAGAAATTAGGGGAATGTTTACTTACAAAAATCTGCTTTATAGTCATTAGTCTTAGAACTGAACCCTTCCTTCCCTTGTTTTACAAGACTTTTCTATAAGTCACAGTAAGAGAAAATCGGTTTCATTTTGGAAAAACATACAAAGGTTATTTAATACTAGGTAGGGAAATACCATCTTTTGAAAAAGGCATACCTTGATTTACAGAAACTTTTAGAGTACATGTTTTTCTTAATCTCCTAACCAAGTGTATATTTTATCTCCATAAAGAGGTGACTTCAACATTTCCTTTCGTTTACCAACATTTACCAGTGGATGTTGAGACACTTAAAAGTTACATATTTCTTAAAATCTTATTTGTCTGAGTCACAGAACTAGAGATAGCAAAGAAACTACATCTTAAGCATCATCTTTAGCAAATTATGCCACCCTCAGAAAATCCCTCTCACCCCTCGTACATACATACAACTATAATTATTTTATCTATCACTATTAGAATTAGAACAAGCAGCTTCACTCTTAAATATTGAGGGATGGTGCAGCAGAAAATAACTCCAAATAAGGAGACTAAAAAGGGATAATTACTAATGCTATAAAATATTCCAATGGAGTATTTTTCTAACGAAGTTTTTTTGAAACATTAAAATCTTTTTTTCCCATGACTTGGTTACATAGAAAACCATGTGAAAGTTAAATAGGTGAAAATTTAGAATTCATTTAATGTGTATTTTTTCTTTATGCTTCCAAAAATTAAAATGACATATAAACACAATCCCAGATTTGCCAAACATTGTTCTCTATGTTAATTGTTACTGCTCAGAGGAAAAGGCTATCTAGATAAATGGTGGCTCAAACACAGGAAGGAACAAAACCCAAGTTTATGTTTTGGCCTCTCTTCTAATTCCCTCTTCACCACCTAACAACATGCAAACATAAACACACCTTTTCTCACTATATAAAAGCAAACTTTAGTTGAAAACAAATACCGATACTTCTCATGTATGGAGATTGTATAAAACATTGTCACTAAAATGAACCTCAAAATAATCGTTTCAAAACCACAGTTCAATATACAAACTTTAGCACTTAATACAATTTTCGTTTGGCTACCTGAGTATCAGTAACCTATCCATACTGACAGGTCTGTAATACCCAAACTCTTTCATTATCTCCAATGTGTAGTGTATATGCATACATACCACACACAGGGCTCTACATTAACATTTGCTCTAATGTGGTGAGGTTTGAAAAATATTAAGTCAGCAGCATAACCAGGTAACCTTTCAACCTGCTATTACGTTCAATGTATAACTTTGGAATTAAGTATGCATATTTCAGTGTCTAGGAGCATTTCCAATAATTAAACTTATACTTGAGGTTAAATTTAATACTTTGAAGAGCAGATAACCAGTAAGACTTTCCTAAAAGTAAAAAGTGGCAAATTTAACTGAAACATTTCATGCCTCCAAATCAAAAACGCCAAATTTTGTCAATATACTAAAACTACAATATAGCAATACCAGCTTTACCAAGGCTGTTAAATATTAATACGACACAAAGTTACATATTAAATACTTCTTGTTTAGTAACACCACAGTCAAACATGAATATTAATATAGAGCCTTCTCTGCCAAAAGAGTATAAAAATCCTACGTTTAATTAAATGTAGGGGCCTTCACCAAACTTGCTGCAAGTTTGGGGACATAAATATCCAACAGCCATCAAGCTGTGAAAGCCCCTATAAGGAATAAAATAAATCCCACTTGCCTCAGACTGAACAGGGCAACACTGAGACTCAGCCTCAGCCTGTCCTATGGCAGGGCTATAGGAAGAAGAAAATTTTAATTTTAGAAAAACATTACCCAATTAATTTAAAAGACATGCATTAAAAAAATCCCAATGATCAAGCAAGCAAAGGAAAAAATAGCTCTTAAAAAACCAAAAAACTACTGTCCACTGTAATTCTACTGAGACCATAATTATTTTTGTTGGGATCTCCCCCCAAACACCCTGTTCTCACTATAATTAAGCTGAGTTTAAGTTCAATATGTAACTTGATCAGTAGAAAAAAAGCACACTAACAGTATCTTCCCCATTCCTAACAGTAAATGTGTGATATATTACTTACTAAAACATTAAGTATTCAAATCAAATGATAATTCCAGTAGCCACTCAAAAGTTGTCCTGCTGGTCTTGTTACTGTCATACAGTAGTAAAATCTATACAATAGAAACTAGTGCCAGACAAATGTTTAAGTTGTTTTTTTAAATTAAAAAGGTGATTTTAAGAGTAGATATAAGGCAGAGACAAAGCTAGCAGGCCCATTAATCTTGCAACTTCCTAAATTATGGCAATCACAATGCCTGCCTGAAAATATTTAATCTCCAAAGTCTTCTATAAGGGCAGATGAAGTTTACTTTGGTCAACTCTATTACTTAAAGGAAGCATGTGTCAAAGTAAGAGTTAATTATTTCAACATAATTTGTTCCACTCCTGATTGATTTAACCATACTATGGACCCCAGAAGCCATTAGGTAAAAGGTATTTTCTAGAAGCTTAATTATGCTCTGATGCATGCCCACATTATACCTTGAATACATCAAATGAGCGCCACTCATATGCCTGTAGAACACAAGAGTTGGTGTACTTGTTTTTAAAGTGCCATACATAACAATTTGAATTGACTTTTAGTGAGAACTCTACCACTTACTTAAAAGTGGTAATATTTTCTCCCATCAGACTTCAAAAAGCATGAAATGTGGACCTAAAATATCAGCCCTCTTTGCATTAAATGCAAATAAAGCTTTACATAATTTTTGAAACACCATGCCACATTTACCTCGAAGATTTTCAACATGTTTTTCTTTGGCAGTGTAAATATCCTGCCAAATTTCAGTAGGCAGACAAACTTTGGCGGCGGTGGTGGTGGTGGTGGGTGAAGAGGTGAGGCTAAGAGGCTTGGGCTGCCAGAAAAAGGATGAAATTCATTGTTGCTGATACCTGGATGTTGCCCTTTCTAACTACAGAATTTTCTGAACCTCAATGGTGTCACAGCACAGGAACTATAAAACCACTGGAGCAAAATATCAGACTTAAAATAGCACCCAACTCTGTAATGGGTCTGTAATATACTTGCAATGTTTAGTTTATATAAATGATTTTACTTGTCACTTAACATATACAGACCCATTTATGATGACTAAAACGGTTTCCTACAAGGCTTTTTTAAAAAGAAAACTTCAATGGGCCTGCAAACCCAAAGATCGCAGTTCGATTCCCCGTCAGGGCACATGCCTGGATTGCAGGCCAGTTCCCAGCAGGGGATGCACCAGAAGCAACCATACATTGATACTGCTCTCCTTCCCTTCCCTTCTAAAGATAAATAAATTTAAAAAAAAAAAAAAGCCAAACTTCAGATTTCATGTCTTGTATCTAACACCTTGGTATAATGGTTAAAAAGAAATGTTACCATTTTCTTAGAAGTCATAACTTTATATTAAAGAAAAACTAAATATAAAGGTCCTTAAATTAATAATTATACTTTGTAGGTTATTTGATATTTAAATAAGAATTTATTCTGCACAAGATTAAAAAATGAATGTCAAAAAGGTTCAACAGGAGCTCTTATAATGGACTCACAACACAAAATACTAAATAACAGCAGTCACCTCTACAGAAAGGCTTTCCATCAGAAAACAGTAACATTCAAATTTCCAAGGATGAAAAAGTTAGTAAAGCCATTTAGTCCTAGTAACAAAAGGCAGCCAACTAATCAAAGATATAATCTTCTAAGAGTGTAATGAAATAAAAATGTTCAAATCTCCACCTGTTAACCACCCGAACAAAGACACATTTAGATTCTTGACATTATACTCAGAACTTATACCAATCCATTAACAGCATAAGAAGCTATTACTGCTTGCACCTAAGCTTCTAGAAGCTTGCACCTGAAAAGCTTCTGAGGTCCACACAGTACTGCATACCAAAAACAATCAGAAGGAAATGAATGGTCTGGCACTAGGCTCTAAATGTCATTAGCAGGAAAGCGGAAACACTAAGGATCACAATTTAAGTATCTATGACATCTAACAAGTATTGACACCAAGGGGATAAAAAGATGATACAATATAGATTTCATATCTGTCATGTAATGATTCATCCGTATCTAAATTTTTCTGTTAACAAAAGGACTAATGTACAATTCTATATATTCTGACCAATTTAAAACATGCAGCTAAGGAACAACCTATAGTTCAAAGACAGAATCCAATGATTCAACACTGCATTGGAGACTATGAGTTTTATTATGTGGACACCTAATGTAGCATGCATCTGTACAAACCTTTCAGGCAGTGGTCCACAGCTGGGTTATGAATAAAAAGGCATAAATTTTTCTCTCATTTTATTACAATGAAGTTTAACAGTACAGAAAAGTCACATGACCTTGATGGGTCCGATTTCATAAACCCTGCAACATGAGGAACTCTAAATACATTAAATATTGTTACACATTCAGACTTCCAATGTACAGGTACTTGGAAACAGTTACGGCCCTCACCAAGCTAGGTTGGGGACATGAAGTCCAACAGCATCTGAAATGCTGTGAAGGCATAACTTTACAATAGCAATGTAAGCTTACAGAACTTGCCTTTATTAAGGTGGTATGTTCATGTAATTCCAGCGCCTTCACAATATAACGAACCAAATTTACTATACTTCACTTCTAAAAACCTAGATGAAACATGAAAAAGAAGCCATACAGTATAAATTGCAACTTCAGGAAAAGTTCCTGTTTTATTATTCCAAATAATTTTTCCCATGTAAAATAAATGTCCAATAGTTCCTGGTATATGGGAAGATAATGTTTGTTAAAGTCACAATGAAGCCTTATTGACGGAAGCTTGGCTATATATACAGCACAAGTTGAGAAAAGGTTTAATCTCCAAACCTATTAGACTGGATGAAGTGAGATCAGTAACGGCCGCCTTGCGACATTACAGGAGGTCTCATTCCCATTGGAGGTCGAGGAGGCCCACCTTGGTAAGGGGGCACCATTGGCGGTCCCTGCCCATATGGAGGCATAGCGCCAGGAAGGTAACCTGGCATGCCTTGATGATGACCACCATACTGACCTAAAAAACACATTTAAAACACAAAAAATAGATTGAGTTGGCCCGTGCATTGTACTTTTAAGTGCAATATATTATGCAGATAAATCTAATTTATGTGTATACCCAAAAAATCCACTAGAAATAATAAGTGCAAAAAGAGGAATACCATGAGGCGGCATTGGGGGTCTCATTCCTTGTTGCTGTGGGATGCCTGGCTGTGGTGGCATCATACCCCCAATTGGTCCAACTGGTGGATTACCAATGGGAGCCTGTCCTGGACGAGGAAGGTTACGTTGATATTTAGGTAACTGTGCCCTTCTCTCTTCCTAGGAATAAAAATAAGCAGGATGTTAAACACCTAAATGCGGAGACTTATTAAGCATAAAGGCAAGCATCTAAAATGTTACAGAATATTTTTTAAGAAGTGTATCTTTACTTCCCAACCATTACTTTTGTCCCACAAACCAGTTCAACTACTTAAAATCTCAACATCTTGTCCTAACTAGTGTGGCTTAGCAGGTTAAGCTTTGTCCCACAAACCAAAAGGTAGTCTGTTCAATTCCCTGTCAGGGCACATGCCTGGGGTGCAGGCCAGGTGTCCAGTTAGGGACATGTGAGAGGCAACCAACTGATGTTTCTCTTTCTCCCTCCCTACTCCAAAAATAAATACATAAAATCTCTAAAAACATGTAATACCTTAAGAAAACCTCATTTATTTTTATAGTTAAGACACAGATAACAACTTTAGAATTTATAAATTGTTTCAGCGAGGCATCTAGTTTACATGGCTTAAAGAAATATGCAGTTTCTACCGCTCACTTCACTGGTTCTTCAATTTATTTATAAATCTACATTTAACTAAAATGATTTTTAAAAGCAAGAAGTCAACTGTCTTTTTAGAAATAGTCTGGTGGGAGTGAATGCATCTCAGATCAAAACATGCACTATTCACTTTATTTTGCCTACTATTTTGTGGTTCTTAAAACTCAAGATGGTAAAAAACACTTAATTATTAAAGCAGACCAGTAAAACCATCATTGTACAAATTAACACTTGTCAAATGGGCAAGTTGGTACAATTATATTTAACCAAACTGAGAGTAAAAAACTGAGAACTTACCAGCGATATATCCTCATCGGGATGGATCAACTTACTGGTTGCACTGGTTGTTGTAAGAGTAGCAGGCTTACTTGTTATTGAAGCTGCTGGTTTAGCTGCAGTGCTATTTGTTGTACTAGTGGTTGAAGCTGTAGACTGTGTATAAGCAGGAAATGTAGGCTTCGGGGGTTCTGTAGTCGTTGCAGGAGTACTATTTAAGGGCTTGAAATCTGTACCAACAGGTCCTTGGACAGCTGCCTGAGCCTGTAAAACACAATCTTTCATCAACAAAACCCCACACTGAGTATATCAACTACCAATTTAAAAATAAGACATGAACATTCAATAAAGGACTAACCCTAAATGAAATTAAAACAAAGCTAACATGATAAACACTCCACAAAACAAGACAACATGTAAGAGTATCAAAAGGTGCTGGGCTGCAGTCACCCAGAACACAGCAATGGAACAACAAAAAAGACTGCATATTTAACTTCTCATGTCATCTACCTCCTCACCAAGTTCTTTAATTTACAAAGCTTTGTATTTATTCCAAACTGTTGAATATAATTATATAATGAAATAGCAAATTTTCTATTTTCACTATTCTAAATTAGTTGTTTAATTAATCTACCAAGCAGCTCAAAAAAAAAAAAAAAGGTTAGAAATTATAGAATACAGATGTTTGAATAAATTTGTTACTAGGCATAGCATAATTAATATTAATGGTGACACATTAAAATGTCTTCCAGAGATGTTATTTACATAAGTAATACAATACCCTCCCAATTAACACTGGCTGGTGTTTAGAAGGATCTTTCAAGTATAAAATTACCAGTAATTAATGGTTTACACTTTGTGTAATGCCCAACATCTGAAACATGTAAACTAGGACAACTTTAGAACCAAATGCAAAGTACTAAATTTCCTTATATTATCTGTGATGCATTAGATTAAACAGCTTGAATCAAAATAGCTTAATCATGCATCAGGCTAATCATTGGCTACTATAAGGCATTTACTGCTCACATGCTTTTAACCCTTTAGAACCATGTAAGTTTAGGGTACTTTTTTTTCTCAGTTCAATTTTCAAATACCACTGATTTATATATCATTAATCTTAACTTAAAAAAATTTAAATAGTGTATTTTTTGGGAAAAATTTTAGTTTTAAAGTAGGGTCCAAAGGGTTAAGTTATAAAGCCATTTTAACAACTTTAAACTGCAACTTCCTGCGTACTTGTGCTGTGCTAGGAAACAGAGCTTTAGAAGATGCAGACAGACTTTCTGAATTGGATGAAGCTGTACTTGAGCTTGTTACAGGTGTCCCCATCTGTAGCATAAAAGAAAGGAAACAATGAAAAGTCTCCAAACAAATGGGTGAAAACCAAGCCATGTGGTAGACTTTTTTTGGTATAGATTGCATACTTGTAAATGCAAAGTATAATGCAATCAAATCTGATTTATTTAATGAGACAGGCAGTTAATGCATTTACAATAAACAAAGAGACAATATGAGCCTCAAAAAAATTAATTCTACACCAATAAACCTAGCTAACCAGTTTCTTTCTAAAACTAATGTTTGCAAATGTGTTATTTCAAAAACGATACCTTCAACTGAGGATAAAGATTAAACTACATTTTAATCCAATTCTCTATCAATGACACTACACCAGATTTTTACTAAAAGTTTAACATTTCGCAACAAAATCCCCACCCACCTGAAAAGCATAAGTTAATGTGCTTAAAGGACACTTAAAATGTAATGCTCTTAATTTAGCAACTACAAACAGAAAAATTAAGAAGAAACATCTAAGGGACAATTTTAAAGAGGAAAATAAAGAAGATACATCCTGATCTTCTAAATTCTGAATGAAACTGGGGGGGAAAAAAAGTAACCACCACTATACTATGTATAACAGAACCAATCCCCTTTCACTTCTGAATTCTGCAGACAAAAGCAGGAAGAAATTAAGTGTGACTGGGTCAACAGCAATTAAATGACATTCTTCCAGCAAGTGTGCAGTACTGTAGACTGTCCCTGTTCTAGACTAGAAAAGCTGAACAAATGATCTGTTCAAGTCTTAGGATTTTCATCTTTGGCTTTAATTCCACTCATAGTTCAACAGTTAAAGGAGGACCACTAAACATAACAATGTGAGTCCCCAAAAATAAAACTTTCATTTTTAACGAAAGCTAGAACAACCAGAGTTCAAAGCAATGAAAAAAATAACACTATCTTTGGCTCCATTCAATCTTTTGTAAGTCAAGAAAAACCAATGTATGCACAGAGAAAAAAATAGGCCACTTCTTACTATGCTTAATAAATTATACTAAAATTATAAAGAATAAATTGACCTGTGAAAAATTTCAAGGATTTTTGTAAAACAACTGCATTTTACCTTTAAATATAAGTGCACTCCTTCCCAGGAATTTCAACTTACCTGCCCCGCACTGGGGAAAAGAGGCTTAGTAACTGGAGGCTGTGGAGCAGGAACTGTTGCCGTTGGCGCAGGTGGTCTATTCAGAATACCTGGTGCTGAAACAGCCTGTGCTTGAGTCATTGGAGGAATTCCAGGACGTGGAACAGGAGGGGGCATACCTATAAAAGAAATGTTGGGAAGGGGACCCAGTTGTTGAAGCATTTAGTTCAGAAAACAGTTATTTCCCCAAAACTTTGCTGTTGCTATATGCCACATTAAAAATGCTTCCTTACTATAAAGTCACTAACAACAGACTTCCGAACTCAATGAAATCCATAGAACTTGGGCATTTGCCCCTTGGAACAATCATGCCTCAAACTTTCTATTCCTTTGTACTGTTCAGAATTTTGGGAAGTGAAAGGTATCACTAGCGATCCTGTTTGTAGGCAAAGCAGCAATTAAGCTTAACTGGTAATGATTCAGCAAACCTTTTGAAACATATAAAGAGAATTATATCAATTATCTAACACACAGATTTTCCCTGAACTCTAATACAAATTACAGTAAAAACCTGCTATGTCAAATAACAGTGAACTTTCCAGAAAACCAAGTTATCCATTTAAACATTTTAAATAAATTTTCCTAAAATGTATTGCTCATGTATTCTTTAAACTTCCTCAAGGGAGGTGGGGAGCACGGGGAGGGGGGGCTGGGATGGGAGAAAGACAAAAAACTGTACTTGAAAACAAAAAATAAAAAAATTAACTTCCTCAATATAACTGAAAACTTTTACTGTACATTATCAAATGAACATTGGTTATTATTCCATATTGCTTTAAATGCCCCAAATGATCTTAGAGCATTCTGTCTGTGCAGCTGTTGACTGAAATTAATGGCTTCACTGACAATGATCACAATTTTGCTGCAGCTTTATTCTTCTGGTTCCTTTTACATCAACTATCACTTGGGTACTTCTAAACCTATTGATTACAACCCAAACTTGCCAAGATTAAGTATAAAAAAAGCAGGGTAACCAAATGAGAGATCTTAAAGGGCTCCATGGCACACTTACTTGGCTAACAAAATTCCTTTCCCCACATTATAGTCTAAAAAGTCAACATACTTCATTTCCAACACTGCCTTGCAGCTAGAAGATCAATTACAGCTATTTCTGGCCAGTGATATCTAAAGGGATAAAGAGCCTTTGGGAAAGTTACTTTGCTCTCTAAAAGAAAAAAAAGAGCACATTGATGCCAACACCATTTCTTGCCTGAGTGATCTTTGTTGCCACTGAGTGACAAGCTTAAAGGAAAAGAACTAAGGTTAACGAAGTAGAAAATATTCAAAATGTTGAGTTCTTGATGATCACCAAGCCGCTGAATTTACCACTTTTCTTTCTGTTAACTGAGATATCCTCTTAATACATCTGTTCTTAATAATAAATGTCGAAATTGTCCTATACAGTTTGTTTGAATTCTCTCTCACTTGCTAAGAGTCTCCTATTACTCATTTCAAATATTCCTAATGAAAATGACCACTCTTAAGTAAATAAGCTTCAGGGCACAGGTTCTGTGACTCATTTTGGCTGCTTTGAAACCAATTTTCACTACATTAAAACTAAAAAAAAAAACCCCGACAACAAAAAACACCCTAGTATTTCATACCTGGTGGCATTCCAGGCATCAGAGGTGGTATTCCTGGTCCAGGTGGCATCATTCCACCCATTGGCATCATTCTGTTAGAAAGCAAATTTCAAGAAACAAATAAAGTTAATTAACAGTATAAACCACAGAAAATATTTTGGCTAAATCCCAAAATAGTAAGATAAGACTCGAATTTGGCCCTGATATTGAAATCAAGCTGTAAGAACACAACACACAATAATCCTATCAAAATATATCCCTAAAAACCAGCAAACTCTTGAGTTTACAAGAAAGATGGGGGGGGGCAGGGGGACTATTCAATCTTTGTTGACATAACGTTTTAATACATTTAAAGGCATTAGAAATTTTATACACTAATATTTTATTCTCAATATATACAAGTGGCCTCATCTAAAATATGTGCAATTGAAAAGTAGTACCAACTTTTGTCTCACTTGGAAAATATCCACACAGAATATGACTAAAAGAGAAGAAATCACTATTTTAAGGTAGATTTTTCAAAAGGAAAATACCGAATGTACATTGTGAAATTTTTTGGAGCACAGAGAAACTACCACAAATATTATAGATAATCAAAAGCAAACTCAGGTTGCTTAATTTTTACTTAAGATTAGTTACCTAACACTAAACCATAACTAAAAAAAAACAAACCCCATATTTATTTTTCTTCACTTGAAAAGAGCTAATTTTCAAATACCAATATCCAATGCACTTAAATCACAAGTTTGTGAATTCTTGATTTAGACTTTGTCAGAAGATTAACTTCTATATATTGATTTAATTAGAAAACTTCAATTATCTTCTATAATAAAGCATGTAATTTGGCAAAAGATTATATATTTTCTTAAATACCAACACTTTTTACTAGGTCCTATTTTTTAGCAGTTAGGAAAAAATAGCTACAAATTTTAAAAATGCTTTATTTATATATAGATTTATTACTATTTCCTTAAAAGATGGATTATTTCTATTTCCCTCTTTCAGAGACCCGTGTCAACCAGCTTGCAAGTTGTAGAAGTTTTAGTGAGGAAAGTTTCTGAAGAAAATTTCTGAAGTCAACTGAATAGATATCATTAAACACACAAGAAAATGACATTATGATTATACCTCCTGAATTACATCATGAATGAGATGCTTACATGTTTTCACCGCAAAATGACTGGGTGTATTTTCTCTGATGATGCAATCTGTGAAAATGTATGACAAAATCAAAATCTAACTGTGATTTTCAAAATACAGCGGGAAAGTGTACTGTTTACCTGTCACATCCAATAACATTTAAGTAAAGTGATGGGCACAAGCACCTCATATTTTTTTTTTTAGCTCTTGATGATTTCATAAATAATAAATTATTTACAGAATTTGCTTCTTGTCACAACTCCAAAGTGTCATGGACAGTTCTGAATCTCAGAAACTCAAATCTACAACCAACTACTTTAACTTTATCAGATGCAATTGAAGCACATGGCTGCCTACATACATCCTAAAACCCAAAATCTATTCTCTTAAAGACAAATGTAGATTCCTTACATTTATTGGTGGACCCCTTTATTAACACAATTTTAATATCTGAAGAACCCATACCTTTTAGAAGCAAAAAATGCAAAAGTTACATTTAATTCATATAATACCCAAGCTGAAAGATCATTACTAGGCACAAGCCCACAAGGCATTTTAAAAGTTTTCTTACCCAGGTGGCATGCCTGGCATAACTGGTGGCATCCCTGGCATCAGAGGAGGAACACCTGGCATTAATGGAGGTATGCCTACAAACAATTTCAACAACAAATCACATATTAATACTAAAGAGTTGAAAGAAAGAATTTAATACTTCTACACTGTATCAGTAAAACCCTAAGAATGTTAAATTGCAAGAAGCCCTATGATATGCTACCTGGAGGCATTCCTGGTGCTCCCGGAACTGGCGGTAGTCCTGGCTGTGCCATTGGGGGGATATAACCTTGTTGGGGTTGTACAGGCTGTGGTTGAAATGAAGTTGAAGCTGCAGAGTCATCATCATCATATTCGTCAGAATCATCTTGTTGCTTCTTTTTTTGACTTTCTGTTAAAAAGTTTTAATTAATTTTCCCATTAGGAGAGAAGCCCTAAGCAAATTTAAAACATTCAACATTAAAAAAAATTATGTCAGTGCAGCCCTGGCTGGTGTAGCTCAGTGGAGTGTGGGCCTGCGAACCAAAAGATTGAGGTTTGGTTCCCAATCAGGGCACGTGCCTGGGTTGCAGGCCAGTTCCCAGCAAGGGATACACAAAAGGCAACCATACATTGATACTTCTCTCCCTCTCTCCTTCCCTTCCCCTCTAAAGATAAATATAATTAAATTAAAAAAATAATAATAACTAAATAAATAAATGCCAGTGCAATTAGCTCACGAGATTTTTTCCTTCCAAAAGTACTTTAGTTAATACTGTTCTTTACTTTTCAAATGTGTTTTCAAACCTATATTAAGCAATTACCTATTCTATAAAAAGTAAAAATAATTCTAAATCAGTTTTATTTTTAAAAAATTTAAACTATGACAAAGAGGTCTGACCTCTCTGTAATAAATACTTTGCAAAACAAATTCCTCTTTAATGCCTTGACAGGTATAGGTGTTGGTTAGGTGTTATCCCAACAAAGCGAAAAGCTCACTGGTGTAGCTCAGGGGACCAAAGGGTCACCAGTTCAATTCCCAGTCAGGACACATGCTAGGGTTGCATGCCAGTTTACAGTAGGGGGGGTAACCACACATTAATGTTTCTCTCCCTTTTTCCCTCCCCCCTCTAAAAATAAATAAAATCGTAAAGGAAAAAAAAGCATACATCTTAATATTTACCCTGTGTTTTCTGTTCAAGAAGTCGTCTTCTTTCATCCATGTCTTTCTCTGGAATACCTTCCATACCATATATTTCCAACTCTATATCTGTTCTCCCAGGTATTGCATTTGGTACAGCATCTATTGTCTCTTTATGCACCTAAGATTATTAAAAAAAGAAAGAAAACTTCTATCATGCAAAACTGCCTAGTTAAGTCTTTTTAGAGAATAATTTCAAAGTACTCAGGCAACACTTAGTATGATGATTAAGAGACTGGTTCTATAGTAATACTATTTAAATTCAATCCCCAGTTTTGCTGCTTACTATTTATGTGAGATTGGGCGAATCACTCAACCTCTCTAAACCTTAGTTTACTCCACCCACATAGTACCTAACTTCTATTGTCATTTTTAGGAATAAATATAGTGTATACAAAAAGTACTTGAAAGAATATCTAACACATAGTAAGGAATCAATAAATATTACTTCAAATTTACCATATAATCTTACTTGCTTGAGTTATCAGCAATTCAAGGTGATAATATACTCAGAGAAATTTCAAGTCTGAATTACATAAAGCTATGAAAGTCTTATTATATTGTGACTTAGAGTAAGCAAATTTCCCCAAGAACGGATCTCGAGACAAACCTATAGTTGTAAACTATGAAAGTGACATTCACAATTGGCATCACTGCCCTAAATACTGTAGGTTTAGTTGAAGCATAGTATCGTAAACTGAAAGGTTGCAGGTTTCATTCCTTGTGTGGGCAAACTTGGTTAGGGAGCATATGAGAGACAATCGGATCAGTGTTTCTCTCTCACATTGATGTTTCTCTCATTTCCCTCCCTTCCCCTCTCTTACACTTACACACACACACTGGCATTACCAATAACTTATGAATAACTATCTGATTTTATTTGGCAGGTCACAAAGAAAGTTTTTATTGTAAAACAATGGGAACCTAGAACTTCTTTTCAATATATGGGTTTTTTTTTTAGATCAGAAGTTTCTAACCCTCACCCTGGCTGGGTAGCTCACTTGGTTAGAGCGCCGTCCCAATACACCGAAGTTTCAGGTTCGATCCCTGTTCAGAGTACATATAAGCAACCAATGAATGTATAAGTGGAACAACAAATCAATGTTTGTCTTTGTCTCCCTTTCTTTCTCTCTAGAATCAATAATTTTTTTAAAGGTTTTATTTATTTATTTTTAGACAGAGGGGAAGGGTGGGAGAAAGCGGAAGAAAAATATCAATGTGTGGTTGCCCTGCCCTGGCTGGTGTAGCTCAGTGGATTGAGCACGGGCCTGCAAACCACACGACTGAGGTTCGATTCCCAGTCAGGGCACATGCCTGGGTTGCAGGCCAGTTCCCTGCAGGCCAGTTCCCAGCAGGGGATGCATGAAAGGCAACCATACATTGATGTTTCTCTCCCCTCTCCTTTCCTTCCCCTCTAAAGATAAATAAATAAAATAATTTAAAAAAAAAAAAAGTGTGGTTGCCTCTTGCATGACCCCCAATGGGGCACCTGGTCTGCAAGCCAGGCATGTGCCCTGATTCGAAATTGAACCAGCAACCTTTTGGTTCACAGGCTGGTAGGTACTCCAGGGCCACACCAGCCAAGGCTAAAGTCAATAAATTCTTTTTAAAAGTTTCCAACCCTCAAACATGGAGAACTTTTGCCAGTAAGGTAAAATCCCTGTCTCTCCTGGTTTCTTCAGCAAAAGGCATTAACTTAGTGCTCCAAGGACACTAAAGCACAGTATTTTGCCTAGCCTATCAGCATCACCTGGAAGCTTTTTAGAAATGCAAATTTTCAGGCCCCAGCTGAGCCCAACTATATCACAAACTCTTAGGTGGTGCCTAGCAATCTGTGTTTTAATAAATGCTCCAAGTGATTCCAATGCATTAGCGCAAGCTAATGACTTGAGTGTATTTGTCCAAGTAACACAGTTTTTCTTTCCTCCTAAGATACTTTCATGTAAGAAAATGAAAGAAAGCTAAGCTTTTTCTTAGAGACGTAGCTGAAGGCTTCCAACAGTGGTATGCAAATCAAATTCAGAAATTACCTTTACTTCTGATCAATCCTGAACAAACATGAATAAAGCTATGTAACAAGGAACTTAATCATCATTGTTCAAGTTTTTGGAATATATTACTATTCTTGACAAATTGCAGGTGAAATAACTCATGTTCTTTAAAATTACATTCACACACACATTAACTAGTCTTCAGTACATTTCTAAGTGTTAAGGACAAGAGTATATACACTAGTAAAAAGGCGTTGTAATGAGAAAAAATAACATTTACTTAGAATCTTGCCTATTAGTATGGTCTCAGTCAAAGATAGGAGCAAGCATGGTATCAGCCATCTAAATCACTAAGGTCCTAGATCTATCATCTACGAAATTCGAGGATGTGTCTGATTTAACTGGCATGCCCATCTCCCAGAGTGCTAGGAATTACAACAAGACTGTATGTAAACAGAAGCACTTAGTCAATAAAAGGTGTTACTAGTAGTTTCTCAACTAATCTCCTTCCAAGTTTCACTCCATTTATCTGCTCTTCTCTACAGCATAACTCCTTGAAAGAATGCCTCTGTTATTTTCTCCCTCCTCCTCTTTTTTTAAACTAGGCAAAGATCCACTTGTGTATAAGCAAAAACTGGAAAGTGGTGCAGTATCCAAGAGACTTGGACTGAAAAATATTAGCAACCTAGATTTTACCAGAAACATTAACAGATTTTGAAAAAGCAGTCATAATATAAAACAGCTGCTCCCAGTAACTTCAAGTTTTATCTTCTTCAGAAGCTGACTCAACTTAGCTTCTTCCTCAGAAATCTAATAAAAATTCTCAAGACCTGAAACGTTGCCATCATCATACTCTGGTAGTAAGTGGTACTTTCCCACCCACACTGTTTGGGCAGAGCTTCAGCCAGTCTCTTTTAAACTAGTCACTGTCTGCACTACGCTGGTTTAAGACGTTGGGTAGCATTTGTCAGCTTTTTGTCTCAGCATGTCCTGTAATGCTCAAGTGTTCACTGTCAGATTCCTGAACTTCAAGGCTGTTAAAATGGATCACTCTTCCTTGATTTGTGAACACATTCACCTCTTTAATACCCGAAAAAGAACTGAAGTCTTTTTACCATCTGCTCTAACTGTTCTGTAAACCACCTTCTTTCTGCCAGCAGTTCCTTTTCCCAACTCTGCTCACTAGTGCCTGCAGTTTAGAGTTTCTTTCATCTTGCTGGAAAGGAAATGGGGCTGCTCAGGAGACTAGGGTTGGCACTGGGTTGGGGTGGGATCCTGGGCAGGCCAGGTGAGAATGAACTCTTACTTTCTCTTCAAAAGTACCCCAATAAAGCTTTCATCCTCATCATGCTACAAAATCACTTTCAGAAAGTGACCAATGAACCTCCTCTTTGATTAATCCAATCTTAGTCTGGTTCTTACTTGACCCACCAGCATTTGACTCCCTGAAATAACTCTGGGTACTACACTCTTGGTGATCCTACCCTTTCGATCTCCATGAATGTTTTCTTTTAAACTTCTGACCTCCAAAAGAAGGGTGTAGTCCAACATGGAGTCCTGGCGTACTTACAACTCTTTTCTATCTACATTCTACTCCCTAAGAAGAAAGACATGGCTTCAAACAGCCATCCTTATCCTTCCAAACTTCTATCTCCACCTCCAACCCTTCTGAACTAGACTTGTAGATCCAATTCTTATGTGACATATCCACCTGGATATTCAACAGATCCTTTCAACACCAACATACTCACACTCAAAATTAACATAGAAGCAATCTTGGTGTCTTCATCCCTAAGCCTATTCTTCCTGCAGCTTTCATATCTCAGTATGTTAAAAGCTTCATTTTTCACACTGCTCAGGTCAAAAAACCTTCAGATCATCCTTAACTCCTCCCTTTCTCACCCTCCACATCCAATCCACCAATAAATTCTGGCTGTCACCATCATCTTTTGCCTGGATTACTCCAATCTCCTGAGTGGTCTCACTGCAACCCTGCAGCTACAATGACCCTTTTAAAATGTGTACCAGAGCAAGTTACATTCAAATCTCATTTTATTAAGAATTAATGAAAATGGCCTACAAGAGCCTGCAAGCCCTCCAACACATAAAACAGCATAGTGTGGTCCTTTCCTTATCCTTCAATATTGGAGAATGCTCCTGATGTAAGGGCCTTTCATTCGAAGATTTCCCTCACTTCCTTTCAGATGGCTGCCCAGATGGCAGTTTCTTACTTAGGCCTAACCCTTGTGGCCCTCCTTATACTCTTTATCTAGTTTTAGTTTTCCATATCATTTATCACCATAAGACAAATGAAATCATTTACAGGTTACTGTCCTCTACAATATAAATCTAAATACCACAAAGGTGACTGTCCTATCCACTGCTGTATCCTCAGTGTTGCCTATGTTCTGTTTTTTGTACCATCCAACTGCCACTCACAGGTGGCTATGTGATTAAGGAATTTTTCCTTCTAAATAACCACATGTAATTTAGTGACTTCCTAAGCATGTTGTAGGCTCTCAAGAATTTTTTAATGGATCTTAAATTGTTGTAGTGACATAACTAGAGTGAAAAGAATCTATACAATTATTTTTAAACTTGGGAAAGCAGCATCTTATTTTAATTTACCTCCCTGCTTCCCACCAACAGTAGTTTCCAATAAATAGAGATCTGCTCATCTCACATCTCTCTAAGGTCCAATTAGGCAAAAATTCAGGAAGCTCTAAAACTGGCAAAAGTAGAAAAAATCATGTTGAATAAGTCGTAACAGTACTTAAGAGATCCTTAAAAATTACAAAGCTTTCTTAACCTAGTAGTAAAAGGACCCAAGAAATCAAGAAATTATTAAATGAAACGTTACCACTCTAAAAAAAGGTCCTGGAATAAAATGTTAAAATAAACCTGCCCCCAAGCAGCTAATTTATAACAAATCCTTCAATGGCAGTGAGTAATGGCACCTAATTATGTCCTCATTTTTATGGGATTACAACTGGTAAGATTGACCACAAACTTAAATCATTGATCATTACTCTGTAATTCAAATTTCAGAGTAAATTTGAGGAGATAAATCTGAGGAGATAAATCCTGTTGTCTCAACCTGTCACCAACCTAACATAGGATATAAAATTGTAATTTAAAGATAAATACAAATAAAAACTCTTTAACCATAAAAACTCAATTGTCTATCTTCTTGGGGGCTAAAGATTGTGTTTGTTTTTAAAGCTAACTGGCTGTCTTACCATCTTTTGCAATAAACAACAAAAACAAACAAGAAACCCCCTACAATTGTCAAGATTTATTTATGATCGTCCTCCCATATTTTTAAAATTTTCCCCCAAACTACAAGGGAGTAAAAATTAAATACAGGAGAAAAATCCTTACCTGCATGCAATGTATAGCCAAGCCAGGTCCTGTGTATAATTTCTTATGACATATGTGGCATTTAAAATGTTTTGCTTTTTGGTGCTGTATAAGGATCTTCTCATCATCAAAATCTCTATTACAATACCTGGTCAATATTGTTAAGATATAAAAAAAACACACAATGACACTGCCTATCAAAATGTCATATGATAAAAAAAAATGACATTAAAAAACATGGTAACAGCTAAAACCAAAAAGGCATTTTACATAAGTTTTGCTTTTGATATTTATTATATAATTAGGGATTAGCTTGCCATTCAATTTTAGCATATTTCCTAGAAGCCCACCTTTTCTTCACCACCCCTAAACACATTTCAATGTTGTTTTGTAAAATTTCTGTTTACCAGATTTATGCAAAATTAACCGCTGTTTTCTTCAGCATTTCGACATTTACAAACTCATATTCTGGACTGAAAAGGTTTAATGTAAAAAAAAATCCCCAACTCTATTAAAGTTGTTTGCAATTCTGAACAAATTTATGTTGCCAAGGAATACATTTAAGCTCAGAGATGAACTGCATTAATAAAATTGAGAATTACCTCGCTAGTAATAATTTCCTAAAACATTACAAAATTCATACCTGTGTAGCTACTATATAATAGGTGCAGTTCTGTAACAAATTGTTTTTTTAGATATAAGATGTTTTTCATTCCTACAAAGCTAGGTAATAGATATAAGAAAACCCACCCTGCAAGAGAACGCTTCTTGAAGACTAACGCGCCAGTTGGTGAGACGCGGAAGCTACTTATTTCCACCACCCGCGCAAAAAAAAAAAGGTTTGAAATCCCGGTTGACCACCCTAAGGCTTTAACAGCCCACCAATTCTACCCAAAAAAAACCCCACCCACCCTACGGAGAAAGTGGGTGACTGACTCCGGAGGCACTCCCTATTCCTCCGTAGCGTCAGAATATTGTAATACAAGTCCCTTTGCCGAAACGTCACCAAAACAACGGGGTATAACACAATGGTCCTTGGGGACACTGTCCTTGGTGGAGGGATCCAAGCCGCCTTTCAGTGGGTCCACACTCGCACCAAACTAAGCATCTCCTGAGTCACGGAATCCCACGACCCCTAACTGCCAGAGCCTCCCGCCCTTGAGACCTAGCTCCCGACCCGACTTCCCAAATCCGACTCCAGCCACCAAGCCACCCACCTGAGGCCTAGATCCCACTTTCCGCCATAGGCCATAGCCAGGCCTCCCAGTCCCAATCACCACTAACCGGCGCCCCAGCTCGGCCACGACTTAAAAACTGACAAAGGATACCAGCACCACGGCTTCAGCTGCTTCTTCTTCTTGCGACCCATAACTGCGCTCTATTGACAAAGTAAAAAGGGAGGAGAAAATAAACAGGAAAACGAGGCCAAAATCGCTCACTTTTCCGACCCAACCGCCACCACCGCGTCCCGCAGGAAACAGGCACAAAATGGCCGACGACCTCGTTCGCTGCTCTGCCTCCCGTCAGGCACTGCGGCCGGAGGCGGTGCCAAGCAGGGAAGGGTCACATGATACCGGCCTCCACCCTGACTGGGCGGGGACTCGCCGCGGCTGAGAAGCGGTCGCCATCTTTTCGGTTTAATGAGTCCTTGCTCGCCTCGTCACTTGCTTGTTGGTCCCTTCCGGTTTTCTTTGCAAAGGAGCTGGCAACCCAGACTTGCTGAGAAACTCTCGAATTGGAAGGGGAAAAAAATTTAAAACATTACCAGCGTAATTAAGGGCAGACTATAAAGATAATTGAGACAGCGCCCAATTTTCTATTTTGTATCATTTCCCGGATTAGTCCTATTTGTAGTTAAGTGTTGAACATGCTTACTTAAAATGGTAAGTCGAAGAAGTTGCAGTCACCGACTGGTGACTGATTAAGCAACGCAGTGTGGTCAGCGGGGTGTTGAGGAAAATACGAGGTTCTGCGGCACCGCAGGGGGCGGAAAAAAAAGACAAACCCTTAACGCTTGGTCGTCTTTGGGTGTCAAGAAAGGTTTCCTGTAGGGTCAGTGGGAAGACGCGATGTGGAGGACAGTTATCTCCCTAAGAGAAGCAAAAAAGTGCAACCCTTTGAGGCTAAGCACATGGAAAAACTAGTGGGCTTGGAGCTCAAAGTAAGGGGGCTGGTGGCAAGAGATAACGACTTCTGGAAATCCCAGAAGCAGTCTGAGGAGTTGGGCTTCATGCTGAAGTCTTTCTGAAGCAACAGGAGTTTTAACCCTGCGGAGGTTTGCACCTGAGAGTTAATCTCTCTTCACTATTGTTACATATATCCATTGCATAGATTTAATGTCATGACTAGCTTGGCTGTTACGGCTTAATGTCATGACTAGCTTGGCTGTTTGTTACATATGCCTATGTGCCTGGTGTTATGTAACAATATTTAAGAAAAGAGTTTTTATCTCTTAGATCATTTGCAATCTCCGCCTAAATAGGACAGAGAATAATGCAGGTTTATGAGAGAGTGTTTGGGTTCATTTTTCACCAGTGCCACTGCTTACCTGCATGACTTTGGGCAAGCCATATAAACGTCCTCTGCTGCACTTACAGAACGGAGCATAGCTCATAGAAGTGACTCTTAATGTAAACTTCATGTTACTATTAAAAGGAAAAAATAATGGCAGGCATCAATGAAGCACTTGCTGTGTGCCAGGCATTGTGGTAAATTTTATATGACTTGTTTTCAACATTCTGCGATGTAGGTCCCAGAATTATCACCCTATTAATAATAGATGAAAAGAGGCTTAAGAAAGTTGAAGCAGTGCCCTGGCTGGTATGGTTCTATGGATTGAGGTAGGATGGCCAGGGAACTGAAAGGACCGCAGTTGGATTCCCAGTCAGGACACCTGCCTGGGTTGCAGGCCAGGTCCCTGTTGGGGCATGTGTGAGAAGCACCTATGGATGTTTCTCTCCCTTGCTTTCTCTCTCCCTTCACCTCTCTCTAAAAAGTAAATAAATAAAATATTAAAAGAAAAAACTTAAAGTAGTTTATCCTTTATTCAAGGTTGCAGAATTAGGAAGTGTAGAGCTGAATCAGATTTGCGTTTTAGAGAAACTACGTTGGCCACACTGTAAACAGTGGATTGGTGGAGGCTATGAGAGAGGCCAGTCGTAGAGATTGTGATGGTAATTTGGGTGAGAGAAGAAACTGGTCTGAAGTAGAATAGTGCTAGCAAGAAGTCATTTATTCTTCCTAAGGTAAACTAAGAAGCAAGATTATTTTTTTCTTTTTAATATGTTTTATTGATTATACTATTACAGTTGTCCCATTTTTTTCTCCCCTTTATTCCCCTCCACTCTGTACTCTGTTCCCACCAGCATTCCCCCACCTCAGTTCATGTGCATGTGTATGGGTCACACATATAAGTTCTTTGGCTTCTCCATTTCCCATATTATTCTTAACCTCCCCTGTCTATTTTGTACCTGCCATTTATGCTTCTTATTCTCTGTACTTTCCCCCCTATTCTCCCTTTCCCCCTCTCCACTGATAACCCTCCATATGATCTCTATTTCTGTGAATCTGTTCCTGTTCTTGTTTGCTTGTTCTCATTTCTGTTTTTGTTTTTATTTAGGTTCAGTTGTTGATAGTTGAGAGTTCGTTGTCATTTTGCAGTTCATATTTTTTATCTTTTTCTTAGATAAGTCTCTTTATTATATAATTTCATATGATGAGGGCTTGGTGATGACGAACTCCTGCAACTTGACCTTGCCTGGGAAGCACTTTATCTGTCCCTCCATTCTAAATGATAGCTTTGCTAGATAGAGTATTCTTGGATGTGGATCCTTGCCTTTCATCACTTAAAATACTTTTTTCCAGCCCCTTCTGCAAGATAATTTTAGATAGCTCTCACCAGCTTGGTTCAGTCGGTTGAGCCTCATCCTGCAAAGTGAAAGGTCACCGGTTTAATTCCTGGACAGGATACGTGTTGTAGACCAGTCTCCTTTGTTGGGGTGCCCGTGAGAGGCAGCCTACGTGAACCCAGAAAAGCTGGCATTCATGCTGCCTGTCCGACCCAATAAGCAGAGTCAGGGACTGAATCTTTATGGGCACTTTCGTCAGATGGCCAGCGATCTGAAAACATGGTGGGTTTGTACCTTAACAGACCATCTTCAGTTCCATTTTAAAATGGCCCTTTTTACAAGGAGAACAAAATGTAGGTAAGGGGTTTGGAATTCAGGGAAAAGTTAGTTGGATAAAAAGCTGTAGCATTCTTTCATCTGTGCCCTGGGCGGTGGACAGCTCACCTTGGAGTACAATGGCTCAGATACCATCTTGATTGCTTGAGTACTCCTGAGGCTCAAAGGTGGAACTGCTTAAGGTCTCCTGGAGTCAGTGTGAGTCATACATTCAGTTCCTGAAACAATAGCTTTTTACATACATTGATGACTAAGCTTATTAGCTATTGAAACTAAAATTTTTCCAACATTTGCGTCCCTCATCAAATGGATGTTTCTCTCACACACTGATGTTTCTCTCCCTCTCTTTCTTCTTCCATTCCCCTCTCTCTAAAAATAATAAAATCTGCACTGACTGGTGTAGCTCAGTGGATTGAGCGCGGGCTTTCAAACCAAAGGATCGTGCATCGAGTCCCAGTCAGGGCACATGCCTGGGTTGCAGGCCAGTTCCCAGCAGGGGACTCATGAGAGGCAATCATACATTGATATTTCTCTCCCTCTCTCCTTCCCTTCCCCTCTAAAGATAAATAAATAAAATCTTTTTTTTTAATTAAAAATAAAATCTTTTAAACCTTTTAAAAAAGATAATTTTAGATAGTTCCCAGTGCTCTGCCAAAAACAAAAAATGAAAAAAGGCGTTGGAACAATATAAGGATATTTGCTCTAGCCCCTTCTGTTTAACATGTTACTGGGGGTCCAGCCAGGGTGATCAGGCAAGAAAAAGAAAAGGAATTCAGATTGGAAAGGAAGAAGTAAAACTATCTCTATTCATAGATGGCTTGGTCTTGTCATGGGTAGAATTGGGTCATTGTGTCTCCCCCACACACAAAGAAGAATTAAGTTGCAGTACTAACCTCAGAACATGACCTTGTTTGGAGATAGAGCCTTTATAGAGGGATTGAGCTAAGGTGAGGTCATTAAGGTGGACCCCGTTCCAGTATGACTGATGTCTTTATAAATAGAGGAAAATTGAACACAGCAGTAATGCAGGAAAGGAAGACAATGTAAAGAAACATAAGAGAAAGATCACTCCTGAAGGAACAAACCCTGCTGACACCTGGATTTTGGACTTCTAGCCTCTGGAGTTGGGAGACAATACATTTTGGTGCTTAAAACATTCAGCCTGTGGTACCTTGTTATGGCAGCCAGAGTTTAGGTATCCATTAAAAAATATAGAGAGCTAATATAGAGTTCAATACGTTTCACAATACATGATCTAAATACAAAAAAAATTATACTTCTATACCCTAGCAGCAAACAATCTGAAAATGAAATTGAGAGGACATTTCCTTTACAATAGCATCAAAAAAAAAAAAAGAAAAGAAAAGAAACAGGAATACATTTAACAAAAGAAGTTCAAAATCAAAATACTGTTGTAAGAAATTAAATATCTAAACAAGTGAAAACAAAACAACACTGAAGTTAATAACTGTTCGATCAAATGGTCACAATTTTAGGTCAACAAGCCACCTTCAACTCAATTTTGTGGTATAAAGAGTTATAGAGCCCTGGCTGGTGTGGCTCAGTGGATGGAGCATGGGCCTGTGAAGCAGGGAGTCGACAGTTCGATTCCCAGTCAGGGCACGTGCCTGGGTTGCAGGCCAGGTCCCCAGTGGGGGACACATTAGAGGCAACCACACATGGATGTTTCTCTCCCACTCTTTCTCCTTCCCTTCCCCTCTCTCTAAAAATAAATAAATAAAATATTTAAAAAAAAAGAGTTATAGAGCCAGAGTATTTCAGTTTGAATGCCCTTTCACCATTTACCAGCTATTTTACCATGGAGAGAAGTACCTGGCCTCAGCTTACTCATCTGTAAAGTGGGATAATAATAACATTCCCACCCTAGCTGGTGTGGCTCAATTGGTTGGAGCATCAACCTGTACATCAAAAGGTTGGGGGTCGGACTTCCGCCAAGATGGAGAAGTAGGTGGAGGGTCCACCTCGCCTCTGTGCACAACCAAATCTAAGAACAACTATTTTTAACAGCAGTCACAACCACACCACACGGAAAATCGACAATACGGAGTCCAAAGGACAACTAGATACTCGGCTGGACCAGTACGAGAAGCGAGGCCAGAAGCAGAGCAGGTTAGCAAGAAAAAATTCCCGGGGCGGTGCGCGGGGCGCGCAGGCAACCAAGGGCTGATCGCCAGCGAGCTGGCTGCCGGAGCGCACAGGGAAGAGGCGCGGTGGGTCGCTCAGTCGCGCGCATTTACGTGCGGAGAAACCAGTGAGAAGGGAAACCCGCGCGGTGCAGCAGGCTCGCAAAATTAGGATCGGATAAGCAAGCCCGAGGCGTTTGAGTCACTGGATGCGCTGGGCTAGCGGAGAGGAACGCCATCGCTCCCTCTCTGACCCTGCCCCCACACACAGCGTCACAAACCAGCGACCTGGGTCGCCCCGTCCTGGTAAACAACTAAGGCTTCGCTCCGCTCACTAAACAGCACGAATAAACCAAAAATGGCTCTAGAACAACTCAGAGCCCCAGAACCGATAGACCTAAGTGATGAAGAAATAGCCAGTCTTTCAGATGCACAGTTCAAAACACTGGTTATAAAGATCCTTACAGAACTGGTGGATTTTAGTCACAAATTAGAGAAACATATGGAAGCTAAATTAATTGAAATGAATGCTGATACAAAAGATACCAATAGTGATGGAAAGAAAATTGGGACTCAAATCAAGGGAGAGGACCAGACAGAAGAAAAAGATGATCAAGCAGAAAGGAATGAAGAAATAAGAATTCAGAAAAATGAGGAGAGGCTTGGGAAACTCCAGGACATCTTTAAACGTTCCAACATCCAAATTATAGGGGTACCAGAAGGGGGAAAGGCACAACCACCAGTTGAAAAATTATTTGAACAAATAATAAAGGAGAATTTCCCCAAGATGGCAAAGGAAATAGACTTCCGAGAGATCCAGGAAGCTCGGAGAGTCCCGAGGAAGTTGGACCCGGGAAGGAACACACCAAGGCACATCATAATTACATTAGCCAAGATTAAAATGAAGGAGAGAATCCTAGAAGCAGCAAGAGCTAAGGGGACAGTCACCTACAAAGGAGTTCCCATCAGACTGTCAGCTGATTTCTCAAAAGAGACCTTACAGGCAAGAAGGGGCTGGACAGAGGTATTCCAAGTCATGAAAACCAAAGATCTACAACCAAGATTGCTCTACCCAGCAAAACTTTCATTTAGAATGGAAGGACAGATAAAGTGCTTCTCAGATAAGGTCAAATTCAAGGAGTTCATCATCACCAAGCCCTTACTATATGAAATGTTAAAGGAACTTACCTAAGAAAAAGAAGATAAAAAAGATGAACAGTGAAAGGACAGCAAACTCACAGTTATTAAGAACCACACCTAAAACAAAAGCAAACTAAGAGGATAGCTAGATCAGGAGCAGAACCATAGAAATGAAGATCACAGGGAGGGTTAGCAACAGGGGGAGTGGGAGGAGGGGAAGGGGGGAGAAGGTACAGAAAATAAGTAGTATAGACAGTAGATAGAAAATAGATAGGGGGGAGGGTAAGAATAGTAGGGGGAAACACAGAATCTAAAGAAATTGAGACACATGTTCATGAACTAAAGGGGGAAATGGTGGGGGAGGGGTATGCAGGGTGGAGGGGAAGGGAGGGGGGAATAGAGCAAATGTAATGGCATAATCAATAAAAAAAAAAAAAAAAAGAAAATATGCCCTTCTGTGAGGGTGAAGTCCCAATCTGATGTGCAGTCAAAAGCAGGATTCTCAAAAAATAAGATTTTAACAAAGCAATATTCTCAGCATAATGAAAAAAAGAAAGAATTAAGAAAAAGTATAGAGCTTAAACCTTCAAAAAGATTATGTTACTGGACTGGACTTGAAAAGATTATGTTACTGAACTGGACTTGGAAAAATTATGTCACTGGTCTGTTACCACAAAATGAGCAATTTATAATGTGAATTTCTACTGTTAAATTCTATTGGTGGTTACCTTTAGGCTAACTTTGGGTCATTCAGAAGCAACAGAAAATGACTAAAAACCTGTCTTATTTTTCTTGGGTGATTAAAAATATTTGGATTCTTCAAGAAAAAAAAAAAAAAAAGGTTGGGGGTCCCCAGTCAGGGCACATACCTAGGTTGTGGGTTCGGTGTGGGAGGCAACCAATAAATGTTTCTGTCTCACACTGATGTTTCTTTCTCTCTGAAATCAATAAGCATGTTTTTTAAAATTAAAAAGAATAATAACACCTACCTCCCAGGACTGTGAGAATTAAATAAGTATTTGTAAAACATTCAGGAGTCCTCACACACAGTATGTTCTCAATAAATGTTAGCCATTATTTTTCTACATAAAGTTTGTGGAATGTAGGTGTATTGTAACATCTTAATATGGTGTAAGGTGAAACATTCAAGAAAATGATGCCAAGGGGTTACAAAATCTTTAATTCAGCAAACAGATCTTGAGCACTGTTAGGCCATAAGCTACAATACAGAATATAACAGTGAACAAGCTGACATTCTGGGGGAGGGGGCAGACAGACAATAAACAAATACAGAATGTCAGGTATGATAAGTGTGATGGAGATAGGACACAGACTGAGGGGATAGGTGTGTGGGGGGTATGTTTCACATTTCTCTGACTGTCTAGGACCGTCAGAGAAAGTCTCTCTGAGGAGGTGACATTTGTGCAGAGAGCTGACCGATGTGAAGGAAGAAGACATGGAAATACCTGGGGGCATTCCAGGTGGAAAGAAGAGCAAAGTTAACAGCTGTTCAACTGGAAAAACATATTGGAGTTGGAGTGTTTGAGAAACACCAAGGAATGTGACCAGGCCAGAGTGAGCAAGGGCGATGGCGATGGGAAATAAAGTCAGAGGGGCAGACATGTGCTGGGTTATGACGGCCCCTGGTATGCCACACTATTAGAGCCTTATTCTCAGGGCTGTTTCTAAGGCCTAAGCAGGTGAGTACAATATAAAATAACCATTGAGAGTACGGGTTTGGGAGTCAGATAGATATAGTTTGATCACTTATATTGACTGAGCCTTGGTTTGCTCATCTATAAAATGAGCATAAACCCCTATGTTACAGAGTTGGTCCAGGGATAAATGAAATAAAATAGGTAACTATCTGGACCCATGGTTACTGCTAAATAGGTAGCAACTGTTAAACTATAAATGTTATATTGATATTATTATTACTGTTGGTATTTAATAGACCAATTTGCAAAGCCTAATGTCCTCAGATTATGTTCACAGACAGTCAAGATTGAGGGGCCAGTAATAACATTCCTAAGATCACCCTAACTGTCCACATTACTTCCTTGGAAATAATCACATTCTGCCCTCCCCCATGTACATATCTTGTCTCTTCATTTGTGTTGCCAGCTCCTTTAGGACAAAAAACTTAAATACTGGATTGTCTTTCTATATGTGCACATATGCTAATTCATTCTTTTTAATAGCTATATAGTCTTTTGATATACATGTGTATTAGTTTCCTATTTCTGCTGTAACAAATTACCACAAACTTAGTGCCATCAAACAAAACAAAGGTATTACACTATAGTTATGCAGGTCAGAAGTCTGAAATGGGTAGGCAGGGCTACGTTTCTTTTGAAGGATCAGAGAGCCTTTTGTTGCCTCTTCTGAAGGATGCATGAATTCCTTGCCTCGTGGTACCAAATCATGTCAATCTCTGCTTTGGTATCAAAATTGCTTTTTCCTTTCTGGCCTCTTATCTCCTTTTTGTAAAGACTCTTGTGGTTACATTTGGTACACTGGGACAATTCAAAATAATCTTCCCATTTCAAGATCTTTAATTAAATCATACCTGCAAAAACTCCTTTTGCTATGTGAACTAACCATTGTCAGGTTTCAGAAATTAGAATGTGAACATCTTTCAGGGGTCATCATTCTGCCCACAACCACATGTACCATAACTTATTTAATCATTCCCCTACTGACTGACATTCAGAGTGTGTCTTGTTTTTCATCATTACAAACTGTGCTGCAAGGAATATGTGCACTCCTTTTTTCACACTTATGTGAGTGTAACTATTTGATGATGTCCTGGTGTTGCACTGATAGTCAAAGAGCATGTGCATTTAAAATACTGGTAGTCTGGCCTCTGTGGCTTGGTTGGTTAGAGTGTCATTCCATGCACCAAAGGTACCAGGTTCAATTGTGTGTGTGTGTGGCAGAGGGAGCGTGTGGGAGGCAACCAATCATGTTTCTCTCTTTCCCCTTTCCTGTCTCTCTCTGGGATCAATAAATATATCACCATATTTTTTAAAAGTATTGATAGTTATTTTCAAATCTTTCCAAAGCATGTGCATTAATTTTACTATTATCAACTGTTTTGAGAATTATTGCTTCCTTACACATCCCAACAGAGTATTATCAAATTTTTAAATCTCTGCTTATCTGCTAGGGATTTAAAAAATTTAAAGTAGTACAATATACCATAATTTTATTTAAAGTTGAGCGGTTTATGTATTTTTTTATTTCTTCTGTGAGCTACCCATTGTTTACTTTTGTTGTTCTTGTTGTTAAGTGACAGCCCTTCATCTATTATAAAGGTTTCAAATATTTTCCCTAGTTGAGTTTTTGACTTTGGGCCCCACACAAATGCTTAGTTTTTACATAGTCAGACTTATTAACCTTTTTTTGTATGGCTTCTAAGTATTTCGTTACATTTAGAAAGGTCTTCAAGCATTTAAAAAATTCTCCCGTTTTTACTTTTTTCTTAAAGGGCGTCATTTTTATTTTTGAAATCTTTGATCAAAATGGTGCATGTGACTGTGTTTGCACGCGTGAAAGGGGGTAGGAGAGCAGCTTTATCTTTTCCATGTGCCTAGCTGAAAGTCTTTCAGACTTAGAGGAGAAAAAGGAGTTAAACCAGAACTGCTAGACGCTGTTGCGAAAAGGTAATTTAGTATGTCCGCTAGCCGCTGCGGGGAGAAAAGCTGTTCGAGGTAAGCTTCCTCGCCTCCAAACCCAAGGAAACCACCGGAACGCAGGTGTCCAAGGGTCAGGGGCTGGACGAGCCCGGCCACCGAGGACTGTACGGCAGCGGGGGAGCGGTTTGCAGGAGACACAGGGCCTCCCCGAGGCCGCCGCGATGCTCCCCTCCTTGCAGGAATCGCTGGATGGGGAAGAAAAGGAGCTGGAGAGCAGCGAGGAGGGTGGCTCCGCCGAGGAGCGGAGAGTCGAGCCGCCGCCCAGCAGTCACTACTGTCTCTACAGCTACCGCGGAAACAGGTTCAGCGTCCCACGGCCCCTGTGGCCCCGCCCCGGCCCCGCCACGCACCCGCCGCCCGGCGCCTTCGCGCCGCTGGGACGCCATCTTTTCTCCCAGCCGCGAGCTTGGGCCAGGAGCGCCTCCTTGCCTCGCTTCCTTCTTTCGGGCCCGCATCCGGGTCCTAGGCCTAGCGCTCGCGAGCCTCTGCGCTCCAGCTAGCCCTGTCATTTCCTCAGCCCCTTATCATCCGCGTCCTTTGTTCAACCCAGTGCCTTGCGTGTTCAGTAATGTCAGTTTCCATCCCCCAGTCTTTCCTGTCATGATCTCCCCACTTCCTTCCCTTTCCCCCACCCCCCCTCAACCCTCGGCCCCACCCTCTGGTTATTCTCCGTCTTTGCTGCCAGTTTTCTCTCTGCCCGGCCGACTTTCCTGGAGCTCTCTTGGCTTTTGATTTTTAGAGGAACCGTCCTCGGCTCGTCTGGATATTTAATTTCCTTTCCTCCATCCCATATGTGGCTAGAGAGAGAGAGGGCTCTATATCAGCCCTGTTTTATGGGTTTTCCCTTTCATGAGGATAGGCACTTCTCCCTTGCAGCATTTTAATTGTTAGTCCTACCCTGTTGGGTGGGCGCCCCCTGTATTCCGTCTTGAGTTAGAGCCCATAACTGATACTGCTTTTGTGGTGTCGTAGATTGGCACAGCAGCGAGGGGACAGTGATGGTGGAAGCCCAAGGGGCACTAATGCAGAAACTCCCTCTGGTGATGATTTCAGGTAAAAACAGCTTGAGCATAACTCATGCCTGGGCTTTTAGCTTTGGTGCTTTGGCCTGTAGATGCCTGTGGGTATCCTTTCTCCTCTCAGCTTTCCCGGAGTCAAGCCATTAAGCTCACCTGTTTACTAGGAACTTCTTCTTGATGTCTTCATTAGCTCATTCATTCAAGGCCAGGACAGATTCAAATACTGATAGTGCCCAGGGTAATTAGGCAGAGATAATTATTCTAAGTTTTTTGGGGTTTTTTAGATTTTATTTTTAGAGCAAGGGGAAGGGATGGAGAAGGAGAAGCAGGGAAACATCAATGTGTGGTTGCCTCTCAGGCACCCTCCACTGGGGACCTAGCCTGCAACCCAGGCATGTGCCCTGACTGGGAATCCAACTGGCTACCTTTGGTGCGCAGGCCAGCACTCAATCCACTGAGCCACACCAGCCAGGGCTGGCACAGGGTAGACATTTAATACATGTTTATTAAGTGAATGAATGAATGACCTTAACACTTGATGCAAAGTAGAGGTACTTACTGATAAATATAAGACTGAAGTTATATGATGCCAGGGACCTGCTTCGAAATAAATCTGGACGGTGGAAGGGTACAGACCAACATGGGGTACAGATGAAACAAGATTGGCTGTGAACAATTGTTAAAACTGGGTGGTGAGTGTATGCAAGTTCATTATACTATTCTCTCTGTTTGTATGTGTTTGAAATTATCCACAACATAAAACAAAAGGCCTCGAGAAGTATTGGGTTCATATTCTCTGTTGTGAAGTTTGGTGATAGAAGACCTCTTCTTCCTGCATATTCAAATTATAGGCTGTTTATATTCTAATCTAAACCAAACTAAAATTTTTACTTCTAGTTCATAAACAGTTGGTAAGCTAGAGTGTTTATTCATGGGTAAGAGGTAGATGGAGGATAGAAGAAAAAAGAGGAGGCGTAAAATAGTGACCTAGGAGAGTAGGAGAGTAAGTGGACCAGGAAATGTAATTATAACTGGGCCCAGTTGGGGCTAGCGATCATGAATTTAAAATGAGACTAGACACTGTGAATGTTTTTATCCAACCAGATTCACTGCATAGATGCATGTGCAGAGTAGGTACAGTGCTGGACTCATCAGGGCTGAAGTTTTGCTAATAAGCAAGTACGGTGACGTGAAAATAACAAAGGGTTGAATGAGAATGTGCGCAGGGCCCTGGCTGGTATGGCTCAGTTGGTTAGGCATCTTCCCATTAGCTGAAAGGTAGTGGGTTCGATTCCCAGTCAGGGCCCATGCCTAGTTGTGGGTTTAATTCCTGGTCTGGGTACTTACAGAAGGCAGCCAATCAGTGTTTCTCTGTCTCATCGATGTTTTCCTCTCTTTCTCCCTCCCTTCCCCTAAAAAAAAGAGAGAGAGAGAGAGTGAGTGAGTGCAGGGATCTGATTATAATGACTGACCACGGAGTGTAAGCTGGGTAAGGAGGAGAGACCCGAGATGGGAAACTTGAGAGACGATGAAAAAATGGTAAGGCCAGTAGATTGGGGGTCCCCATGGAGTCATAATAGCAGAGGGAATGAGCTGGAAGGGTACTATAATTTTAAACTGTTTGAGGAGATAGCTCATACTTGGTGACATACATTCCTAGAAGCCTCACCAATAGGACTTGATAGAAGGTTTTTTTCCAAGTCCTTAAAGGGACTCTTGGCTTTCAGTAATAACCTGTCTGACTTACGGGGTGTGAGTGCAGGAGTCCACTGGTAAGGAGTGTGTGCCTTTTATTTTTCAAGCCTCTCCTTGGCTGATACTAATCTACCATCGGAAGTGGAGCCAGAGTTGCGCAGTTTCATTGCTAAGCGTCTTTCTAAGGGAGCGATCTTTGAAGGACTGGGTAATGTTGCATCTGTGGAGCTGAGGTAAGTGTAAAATGTGCTGTGTCCTGAGTTTTTATTTCTGAGCTAAATATGAGAAGTGATGAGAAACTCCAAAAGATCAGCACCCACTAGACCTACCAAATTCATCTTTGCTTGCGGCCGCCCCGAGCACTGGCCCTTACACATCAACATTTGTGGAATGGAATTCATTGAATGTCAGAGACTTTGCCTCCTAAGTATGCTTATTTAGTCTTGTACCTCAAAGAAAAGAATTATTTACCAAAACTAAAGTTGTACACTGTACAGTTTGTAGAGTGCTTTCACAAAGTTTGATGCCATTTCCCCTCCGAAGAGGTGACAGAGCAGATGCGCACACATTTTCAGACGAGGAAATAAACTCAGAGAAGTTCACGTCACAAGGCTGGTCACATCCAGTGGGCGTCCTCAGTGGCATTCAGCCACCTTCCCATCACACCCCTTGATTGTAGTTCATTCAGGCCATGATATTGGCATCAAGTTCCCTCATGAGCGCAAGGCGACAGGTCAGAGATAAGGCCACAGGATAATCCTGTCACCCCTGCCTGGAGCTTCAGTGATTCGTGAAGTTTGGGGAAGGGAGAGAACACGCTTATATTCATGTAGACACGAATGTACTATGAGCAAGAGTGAAATTTGCATAAATTTTTCATATAAAACAGGTGAGCCCCAATAAATTTAGCTTAAGCCCATCAGGGTATACATTCATTTTCCTCTGCTGTTAAAAGTAAACCAAGGACCCTGGCTGGTGTAGCTCAGTGGATTGAGCACGGGCCTGTTAACCAGAGGATCGCGGTTCGATTCCCAGTCAGGACACATGCTTGGGTTGCAGGCAGGTTCCCTGCAGGCCAGTTCCCTGCAGGGGATGCACTAGAGGCAGCCATACACTGATGTTTCTCTCCCTCTCTCCTTCCCCTCTAAAGATAAATAAATAAAATCTTTAAAAAAAAAAAAAGTAAACCAAGGAGATGTCTGGAAAGTTCTGACCTAGTTAGCAACATAGCATTATTGCCAGATCAAGGTGACAGGGGTTCAGAGCTAATAACACATTGTACCTTTTCTTTCTTTTCCAGAATTCCAGGTTACCGGGTTGGTTGTTACTACTGCCTTTTCCAACAAGAAAAAGTGCTTCCTGAAACAGCAACCGTGGACTCTGAACATAACCCTTCTGAGTACGTGGTCTGTTTTTTAGGAGGGTCTGAAAAAGGACTTGAGCTATATCCTTTTTTTGGCCTTTGAGGAGATCAGGAAGGAAATTGTGGGGAGGCAAGTGGAAGGTTATTACTACCCAATTCCAAGAAGCTTTCCTACCCCTATGTATTTCCTTGAATTTCACACCGTCCTACGACCAGCTTGTCTTGGCTTGTTTTAATTACAGTTTGTGCTATTTGCAAGATTTTCTATTTCCTGTTGAGAGCTAAAACACCGTCTTGACTCATCCTTTATTCCTTAAGAGCACACTTTCAGGCTTGAATTGGACAAGTACATCCAAGGGCTGAAAAACAGCATGAGCAGTGAGGTAAGATGATTGATTTGTTAGTTTTTTGAGACTGCCAAGGTTAACATACTATAACTGCTGTACTTGTCAGACCACACAGGTAGGAACAGTAACCCCTAAATTCTAAAAACGTGCTACTTTGAGGGCTAGTTGAAAGGTACTTACTAAGGGAAGTAGGGAACATAGACCTGCAAGTGCTCTAAGTTTACAAGACGGCTTCTGATGCTTTGTATCTATGGAAAGTTCAACCAGTTAAATTCAGTGTTATTTGGTAGCATGCCCAGTGAGGAAGAGGATGCTCTGCTCCTGACTTCTAGGCAGGTAAGCTTTATGTTAGAGTCAGAACCGATGGTCCACCAAACCTCTGGCACCTGAGACATGCTATGCAATGGTATGACTGTCCTTCAACTCCACATTAGAGATTTTTAGAGCTGTTCCATTTCTCACTCATTGATCTTTCATGTATTTGGTATACACATATCCATTAATTTATCCATACATTTTTAAAACTATACATTCAGCTTGTAGCAGTTTTTAAAGTCATGACTCTTACAAACCTACTACCCATTAATAACTCCTTTCATGCACTTACAAGATTTTGCAGGAAAGCCCAGGAGCGAGCCAGGGAACTGAGTCAGGGGGAGCTGCTCTCCCAGACGGGAGCTATTCCACTAAGTCCCCAGAGAGCGGCACAGCCGGGGAAGCCAGAGGTGCTGGACAGCTGGAGTGGGCCTGACTGTTTCGATGAGTTAACTTGTATCCTTCCCTATTCACATGTTGGATGTGAATGAACTGTCTGTCCACATTCCTTCAGTCATTCAGCCACTGCATGTGCTGGGGAGAGAGGATCACCAGGAGTGTCCCCACTGAGCACGCAGTTGACACCGCAGGGACACAGGCGTGTAGTGCACTCCTCCCAGTGAGGAGAGAGCGCAGGGCCCTATTCCGGCTTTCATTTTATACAGTGCGTTTCTTAGTTTTATATCACAATTCCTTTTTTTATTTTTTGAGGTGAGGATATTTGCATACAGAGGTATCTGTCCAGTTCTTTTCACTGTTGAGTATCATGAAAAAAATGTTAAGTAGACTAAGGTGAAGGCTTACATTGAAGGAATGACATTTCTCGTGATCTAGGAGAGGGGCCTGGAGAACCACATAAAGTCCTACCTGAGCAACTGGTTTGAGGATGTTGTGTGCCCAATCCAGAGGGTGGTTCTTCTCTTCCAGGAGAAGCTCACCTTTTTGCTACATGCTGTAAGTATTGCCCAAACTAAAAGCAGTTCTTTAATTGAGAATCACTTGAGCAAAGTTTGGTTTGGTTAAACACTTATGTTCTTTAACATTACTTTTCCCTACTAAAGGAAAAGTAGAGATTCATTCAAACTATGCTGGCAAGTACTCCATTTGTTCAGATCTAGAAAGTTACCCTACTAAGGTGGAATTGCAAATAGTGAGTCTTCCTAAAAGAAGAAAACATTTTAAAATAATTACTTTGAACTCTGGCTGGTGTGGCTTAGTGGATTGAGTGCCAGCCTGCGAACGGAAAGGTTACCAGTTTGATTCCCAGTCAGGGCACATGTCTGGGTTGCAGGCCAGGTCCCCAGCTGGGGGTGTGTGAGAGACAACCAATTGATGTATTTCTTGCATATCAATGTTTCTTTCCCTCTCTTTCTCCTTCCCTACCCCCTCTCTAAAAATAAAATAAAATCTTTAAATAAGATAAAATACTACTTTTTGAAATGATCTGGGAGAGGTGTAATTTCCAAAATAATTTGAGGGGAAAAAAAACCTGAAGTGTTTTAACTATATAAAAATATTCAGGTAAAAAAAATGAAAATTTGCTAAAATATCCAGATCCCAGGGAAGGCTTGAGTAAATGGCCAGGTTTTTCATTAAAACTTGTGGTGGGCAGACGCAGCTGAGACTAGACGGTCCCATGAGACGAGGTGGGAAAGCCCGGGGTTCAGACTGTTCTTGAGCAGCAGTAGCAAGGCCCTGGAGTTCCTGGGTGGTCTGGGGGAAGGTGATGATTAGTCACAAGTAGCTGCTCAGTCAGTGCTCAGCAGGGAAAGCTGGAACACATGTATCGATTGGCCTTTATTTTTCTCTCCTAGGCTCTGAGTTATACTCCCGTTGAGGTTAGAGAATCAGATGAAAAAACAAAGAGGGACATTAACAGGTAAAGACTACTTCTGCAAAGAGAGAAGCTTTTATGCAGCAAGCCTGACATTTATGTTTAAAACTCCCTAGTGCAGGACGAATTTGCTTTCTCCCTCCCATCCTGCAATATACTGTTTGTGGAAAAGGGCTGCGTATGTGTGGCAGGTTTCTGAGTGTGGCCAGTCTTCAAGGCCTTATTCACGAAGGCACCATGACGTCCTTGTGCATGGCCATGACGGAGGAGCAGCGTGAGTCTGTCGTCATCAACTGCAGTGGCTCCCAGCCTCAGTTGTACAATGCAGGTGAGTCACAGCCTCTGAAACAGCCGTCCTGCGGCTCTTGTGAGTCTGTTTTCATTTTTGTACTGTGAACAAATGGTACAAACTGATCCTTCCGGCCCCAGACTCACTGCAAACAATAGCGGTTCTAAAAACATGAAAAACCACATCATGCCTAGCAGTTCCACTCCTAATTATCTAGAAGAACTCTTGTGTATTTATATAAGGAGACATACAAATGTGCTCATAAAGGCCTTGTTTGGAATAGCAAAGAATTGGAAGCAACTTAAATGCTTCCACTAACTGCAAAATATTCTCATAAACTGCTATATTCGTGCAGTGGAATACAATGTACTAGTGAAAATGTATGAACCAGAGCTACATGTGTCCATACAGCTCACATACTAGTGAAACAGCCATTAAAGAAGACTACATAGTTTTGACATATGCAAAGTAATACTATGGAGGGCTTAGAGATAAGAAGGTATGTGGCAAGAGTTTAAAGAAATACATGGGAATGATCGTCTTTTCTGATGGGAAAGGAGGGGGAGGCAGTCAGAAAGCAACACGCGGGGCTTCAGCCGTTTTGGTATTTTCAGCCAGGTGTTGAGTACACTACTTTCTTAGACCACTGTAGAGTCTCAAATAATTCATTATAAGTGTATAGTTGTAGAGGGGAGAAGGAAGGGAAGTTAAGGGGAAAATGGGGGAGGGATTTGGAGGAACAAATAGGAAGGACACAGGGACGAGAACTAAGGGGGGTGGAAATGGGAGGGAGGTGGGGAGCAAGGGGCGGGGGAGGCTGGGATGGGAAAAATAGACAAAAAACTGTACTTGAAAAATAACTAAATAAAATTTTTAAAAAAGTGTATAGTTGTATACAAATACTAAATCCCTAGTTGTATACTTGGAATTAATATAATGTTATGTGTCAGTTATACCTCAGTTTAAAATAAGTAGAAAAAGATGTCTGTGCTATATAGGATTTCCTTTTTATTTAACATTTCTGAAATATTTTACAGGAAGCAACCGATTTTGTGAGGATTGGATGCAGGCTTTTTTGAATGGTTCCGAAGGTGGGAACCCTTTTCTCTTTCGACAAGTACTGGAGAACTTTAAACTAAAGGTAATTAATTGTCTGTGCACCAAACGTCACATATAACTTTTGTCTGAATTTTAATTAGTATCAGTGACAGAGTAACAAATCTGCTTTATAGCAGTGTTGTCTGTTTAAACAGGGCGTTCTCAAAACTAGACCCCTCAGAAGGCATTTACTTTATGTTTGTTAGTGGCTTCTGCAGACATGTCATTGCATTTCCAGTTAGCTGGGTTCATTGCCTGCTCTGTCTCCGTATCTCGACTTCGTAATTTGTGACCTATCTCGGTTGGAAACCACACACCAAAAAGTGGCTTAGAGCCTCAAATCGCTAGTGGGGAGGAGTTTCGTCACCTTATTTAAGAGATTTTTAAAGTGTTTTTACTTTATATGAGATTTTGTTCTACCAAGGGCACAGCATATGAATGATGAAAATGATGGAAATATTAAAAATAAAAAGCAAACATCTCGGCCCTGGCTGGTGTAGCTCAGTGGATTGAGTGTGGGCCTGTGAACCAAAAGATCATGGTTCGATTCCCCATCAGGGCACATGCCTGGGTTGCAGGCCAGTTCCCAGCAGGGGATGCACAAAAAGCAACGATACATTGATTAAAAAAAAAAAAGAAAAGCAAACATCTCAGCAACATATGTATTGAGCTGGATAGGAAATATTTTTTCAGGTTTCATTATCATCTCACCAAACACATATCTAATTGGGTAATTTTTTCTAGGCCATACAAGACACAAATAACTTGAAGAGATTTATCCGACAGGCGGAAATGAACCATTACGCTTTGTTTAAATGTTACATGTTCCTAAAGAACTGTGGGAGCGGGGATGTCCTTCTGAAGATCGTTAAAGTAGAGCACGAGGAGATGCCCGAAGCCAAAAATGTGGTGGCTGTCCTCGAAGAATTTATGGAAGAAGCTCCTGCCCAAAGTTTCTGATCGTATTTTGAGAGAACTGGATTGTGAAGTTGTAGATTCCAGTGGTGGTCTTTGACATTATAATGGTTATAAGTTGCCATAGGATTGCCATTTAAGATGATTTGAAATACATTATAGATTTTTTCATTTTGTACTTTTAAAATTTAACTTAATTAGACATATGAAAATCTGAGGAATATCTTGAGTCCAGGTAGATGTATGTGAAGAGTTGCGGAATTTCAGTACATTGCTGGTCCCATAAATTCCATACTTCAGGGAGCTGTTGCTTAAAAAACTACAGAGGTGATTTAGTGGCTTCTCTCAGGAGTTTGCTGCAGTGTTTGGCAACCTTTGCTCTCGGAAAAGTCCTAATACTTCTTTCTCAAAGTGTACTTCTAGTCCAAGGACAGCTCAGCACCATGCCGCCATCTCAAAGACAGACCTGTGCATCCTGTGAGTGCTTGATAGACTTTCGTCTGACTGATAAGGGCATGGGTGATGAGCCAGCTTTTAAGTCGATACGCACATAAATCATGAGTGTGAAAGAAAACAGATGAGCTTTACAGCTGCATGCACTGGCTTCCGGATAAAACATCCTCTCTGATGGATAGCTACCGGAGAAACAGGACATACATTTTACAAGCAAATAATAACAGAACACACTCAGATTGTTCATATCAGAGTCACTCATTGCTCTTAGTGTTTTGTACTTTGTTTACAAGCCTCATATCGTGATGCTCGGAACCAGCTGCAAGTGCCCTCAGCCTGAGGCATTTCCAGTTCCCATGGAAGACAGTGTAGCTACACACAGGACCGCGGTCTGTGCTGCACAGCCTTTGATAAATCCATTTGACGGTGATTTGTGTTTAGAAGATCAGAAATCTTGTGTTCTCACTGCCCTCAGGATGCTTGGAGGAACGGGGGTTCATAAACATCCTAAACTCATAAAGTCGCATTAAGTGCTGAGTTTTAACTTCTGTAATGACTGCCAGTGGCCTGCTTTGTCTTCCACAGAAGTCGGGGGGCATGACTCACCAAGCCATTTCTTTTCCTTTAATGAGAAATACAATTCAGGGTCTTCATAAAGGCTTTCATATGGTTTTAAACTTTAATAACTTGGATTGTAGGCAGTGCTGAAAAAAGATCCAAGTAGCATTAAATTCAAAATGGCTATGGGATGTAAGCAATTTTGTGGCACTTCTCTTGAATCCAACTTTTTCTAATGTACTGGTTGCCTACTTGGAGATTAATTTTTAAATAACACTAAAAGATCAATATTTTGAGTCTGGAAAACATTCTTCATTTTCAAATTCACAAGTCATTCAAGAGTTCATGTTGTAAATGGCATTTAAAAGCAAATGTATTGCCTGCTTTGAGTCATTTATTAATATAGTCAAGGTATAATTATTCTTTATGTGTACTTGCATATATATTGTGTGATGTAGGCACACTACATACACAGTTGTGTACAAAACAGTCTTATTTTAAAAGTCTGTGACAAACTGTCTGTCACTACTGTAGACAGGGAAAACGGTGACGTGGAATCAAATGTCCTGCTGGCCACAAGATGTTCAAAGAGCTCGTGACCACAAACCTGTACTGTATTCAAATCTTAATAAGCTAATGTATTAATTTTTAGTTTTAAGAAGGGTTTGCTCAATGTGGAATACATGTAGGTGTGTGCTGCACACACATAGGAAATGTATGTCATGCATCAAAAATGGTTTCAGTTTATCTGTAATCACATTTGTAATAATAATAATAATAATAAAACCGCTTTTCACCAACACATTTTTATTTAATGAGCTCAATTCTCAGTTCTGACATTTTATTAATTCACAAGTTTATGGGGAAATTATAATTGTGCTAAGGAATTTGTTGAAGAAAATCAAATCACCTGCTGGAATACATCTTTCTGCATCTGCAAGAGGCCTCGGGCAGGGTGCAGGAGCCGTTTCCACCATAATGTTTTATTCATTGTCCCATTAAGGTACACCTGTCGAACTCAGTGACCCAGGTCACTTCCTTTTACTCCTATTCATTATTAATCAGGACAGAAGGCCTGTCCTTTACCAAAGGATCCCTTATGCCAAGTGCCAGAAAAGCCTACAGGCTTCTTGGAAATGCGATTCAGTTACTGGGACTAGGACTTTCCTAATCGTGTGCCTTCCAGGTCATGGAAACCCTGCTGGCTTCTGCTGTTGCACATGCAGGTCTACCAAGGCAGCTCCAGCCCTATAACTGCTCGACTTCCTAAATGTGCCGTGCACCCTAAATCTCTCGGAGTTGCTATAAATGCTAGGTTCTGGAGATCGGGGGCAGGAAGGGGTGATAGGGAGCGGTAATGAACTGATAGCGGTGGGTTTTCTTGTAAACTACTCAGAGCAAAGGGGAGCTTCTATTAGGTGAACACTGAGTGAGGTTCCCAGGTTCATTACTGTCACTGGATGGCCCCACTGCAGGGAGCCTGGGTCTTTACACAAGCGCCCTGACACTTCTACAAACTCAATGTCCTTGAAGTCCTGTAGGAGCACCTGGGGGCTGAGAGCATGAATTCATGGATGAGGCACTTTGAGGTACGAATCCAGCCGTGCCATACGCCACCAGGAAGGAACTAAATTTCCCTGAGTCTTTCCCTCGTGTAAATACGGAGACATTTCTATCCACTTCACACCAAGTAGCTTGTGCAATGAAGAGAAATAATTTATTGAAAATGTTTCCTCCAGTGCCTAGCACATACTCAGTAGATTGTGTTCATATCATTGATAAACGTCTTACTAAGTTACGGGAAGAATGAGAATCTGGTAGAACAGAGGGACCAGAAAAGTGGTAAGAGGCCAAAGACAAAGCTAACCAAACAGCTTCTGTCTGTCCAGGGAACTTGCTTTTAAATGCCTCAGGTACAGGCCCCGGAACTGACCCAGGTGCTCACACAGGGGCCCGGCGTCCCTTACGGGGGAGTCCATTCACACTCCAAACAGAAGCGGGTTCTTTGACTCTAGCCTGATCTGTAGTCTAAATGACTTCAGCATTTTGAATTATTCTAAAATGACACTCAGGAAACTGATATGAAAGAACATTACAGGAAACAACTCCCATGCTGAATTTAACAGAGTAGCTGAATCCTTGAATGAAATTTAACGGTTAGGAACAGCAAAACTACATACACTGCCATTAGCTTAGAAAAACTGGTGGAAATAATTCACTTGCTCAGGGCATGTCTGTTAGGAAGGATAAGTAGAAAACTACGGCCAGGAGGAGGAGGAGGGAGAGATCTCACCCCTTGTGTTGACTCTGCAGTCATGAGCCTGGTCCCAGAAGACTGCCAGGCATTCTGAACATTGAAAGCGGAACTATCGTAGTGCAAGAGGCGGGGAGCCTTTGAAATTCTGTGTGTATCGCTTCCATGGGAAAAGGAGCGTCTGTAGCAATTTCACTAGCTGAGAGAGAAAGCCTTTATAACTGTATATTAATCCCAAGGTCTGGAAGAGGGAATAGGAGGGGAACCCAGAAGCTGACTAAAGTATACGAGGTCGGTCCAGAAAGTATCCAGCCATGTAATATGAAAAATAGGGACATTTATTAAAGAAGATAGAAGGTACAAGAAACTTTGTACACAGGACAGTGATGCCTCAGTCCCCTTCAAAGTAGGCACCTTGAGATCTCACAGTTCTCCCAGCATCATTAAAAACTGCAGCATGATGTTCCTTCTGCTCTGGTAGCAGAAGCCATGGAACAAATTTTGCCATGACATGTTTCATGCCAGGCATCAGAATCTCAGACATAGTAATTTTTGGAATCCCCAGATCAGCCTCTAGTTCTCATACTGTCACTCACTGATCTTTGCTGACTGTAGCCCATACATGTTCAACATCCTCGGGTATTCTGCTTGTTGCAGGCCTTCCAGAACATGGACCACTTTCAACAGGTTCTCGACCATCTTTGAAGCATTTGTGCCACACTTTTATTAGCACTGCACTCATTGCATCATCCCTGAAAGCCTTTTGAGTCATCTGAATAGCTTCTGCAGAGGAATGTTCAAGCTTAACGCAACATTTGATGCAGATTTGTTGCTCTAATCAGTCATTTTGAATGTGACAGCCACACAGTACACATGCTCACTCAACAGTGTCTACTGCCCCCACTGACTAGTAAGTACGGTCAAGTCATCATTGTTCATGCACGCACATTCCAGTCCACTCTCCTTGGCTGCCAGGTTACATCAATGTCACACAAACCACTCTTGTTCTATTAACAATCACTGGACTTTTTCTGCACGGACCTCATACAACTTCTAGAATTCCAATAGTCAGGGCACTCAGATTAGCTGGGTGCCCACTTGTAGCCTTGGCTCAAGTGTACAGAACAGACTTACTAACAAGTTTATTTCCTCTATACATGGGGGATTCAGACTAGATGGACGGCTGCCTGTAGTTTCACGGTCAAGTGTATTTCATAAATAAACTTGCTATCTCATTCCATCATTCTCTTTCACCTGAATTCTTCTCTTGTGAACAGAGGAAGGGAATCCCCAACTCCGGTCTGCCTGGTAACACAATCCATTCAAAGCCCATTTGATTGTTAAACTTACCAAGCACCAGACTTTAACATTTATGCTCCTTTCATTTTCCCCTTTTGTGAACTGACCATATCCTTTTACTCTTGAGAACATTCCTGTCACTTCCTCAAGGTCAGGGTGTTGGCAGTCCCTAGCAAGACCGGAAGACTAGGCTACTAGAGAAAGGAAGTGCCTAAGAAATGTCAGAGAAGATTCCTCTAATAAAAGTAGTCAAAATATTAATCTCTCATCAGGGTGTAATGTAAGAATGGAAGGGGAGGCGGGGCACCCACAGACAACTGGCACAGAGGTTCCTGACCTGAAGCTTTGGGTCAGTTTCCTTATTCACAGCCAGCCGACCCCACCCCCCAACTGTACATAAAACTACCTATCTGTATTTTTATGGGGAGAGAAATCAGAGCTTTCAACCACTCAAAAGAGTTCATTAATTCGGGGAAGGTTAAAAACCACCAAGCCAGAAACACCAGCATCGAGAAACAACTCCCGATCCGTGTGATCCACGGCCCACCCCTCCCCAACCCTGACCCAGACCGAGATGAAGTACAAGCCCTTTAGGTCACTTTCTGAATCATGGATAGCTTAAAAAAAATCTTTAATGGAATCTGTGCTCAAATAATATGTTACAACAAAAATATACAGAATGTACACAATACAAAAATATTTAGAAACGAACACTGTAGCTTGTGTTTTGTTGTTGCTGTTGTTTTGTTTTCCACCTACTCAAGTCCTTGGTGGGCAGAGGGTCGGAGTTCAGTGTCGGGCACCGGTTTTTAAGGCAGAGGAGTACCGGGGCTTTCCAGCCAGCCCTGGGAGCAACACGAATCCAGGAAAGGGCTTCTGCTGTGCCTGGGGAACCTGCATTATTTGCAAATGAAATTGGACACTGGGGAAAGATCTGGGCTCAGTGAACGATGATTCTCCTAATCCTCTGGGCAAGAATAGTTCTCATGGAAATTGAGAGTCCTATTAGCTGGCAAATGCACCTCATTAGGGAGCTTTTCCTAATTTAAAAAAAAAAGAATGATTAATGGCGTCATTAAAGCGAAATTTCTCCTTTGAAGGTTTGTTTTCCTTTCCCCAGTTTCTGTGATTCCTCTTCCAGCGAGTGAGTCTGTGGCTGCTGTTTGGGGAATCCCCAGATTTCAAATTCTGTGCTGTGCAGGTGGAAATCCATCCTCAGGCCACAGCCTGAAGAGACACTACCCTCAGCTTTTTGGCACACGGGCCAGGCGGCCAACAGAGGAGAGAGGAGAGGTGACGGACGTGTTGCTGGCAGGGTGCTGGGAGCCAGGGAGCAGAAGGGACCCGCTAAAGAGAAACCCTACACCCAAAAGTAAACCTTTCTTACCAGACCACTGGCTCTGGCTCTGGGTTACACCTGGGTGGTGTGAAGTGACTGTTACCACTGCTGGGTGGCCCTGCTTAGAAGTGATGGCTAGAAGTGGTGGTGGAGATAGCAGTTAAGCAGACCAAAGGACTTCTGAGGTGCCTCTGGGCCCTCAGCTGATGGAGCAGCTGCGGCTCAGCTGGGCTGGGCCCATGGTGTAGGTGAGGCTCTCGGCGTGCTCAGAGGACAGATGGAACAGGATGGCAGATGGGATTTCCAGCTCAGGCAGTTCATATGTCCTACCTAAGCCCTGAGAGAACTGCAAGCTTATGAGGGCTTTTTAGAATCTTGTAGCTCATAGTCATTTCAGCCCCGAGAGAAGGGGAAGGCCCCTCTCCAGGCCACAGCGGACAAAGGCAGGGGGAAGAGTGGCTCTCTGCCCCCTCCATCTGCAACCCAGAAGCCCTGATGCTCCGGTACCAGGAGAGGATCTGGAGGGGAAGCTCTGCTTCCCAGAGGGCGGTACTTGCCCCCACCCCTCCAGAAAGGGACAGCACCTCTCAGGTTTAGGAGTACCTCTGGACCCCCTCCAAGGCCCCTTCCTCTACCCTCATGCCAGTCTTCTCAGCCCCCAGTTCCAGATCAGCGTCTCCTCTCCCAAGAAGCTGACTCTTCCAGCTACATCTTCCTCTCAGGAGGGCAGAGAGTGGCTGGCAGGGCCCAGACAAGATGCCTCAGGCCAGCGCAGCTCAGCCACACACCTGGGCCCGTGCCCCCCAGGCTGGCAGTCCTCGGCACAGAGTCACCACAAAGGCAGCATGACCTGTGAGCCATGTGCCAAGGCCAGGACAGTCTATTTAGCGGTGGGTGAAGATGGAAAAGGGCTTGGCATAGCCCAGGGCTGCCTGTGGGTGTCCAGCATAGAAAGACCCTGACCATTTATGTGATCCCTGGGGACAGGAAGCCACGGTGGCCCAAGACCACCAAATGCCTGGCCTGGCCCAGCTGACTTTGAACCTCAAAGCACGTATGGCTCTAAAGGGCAAGTGGTGGGCAGAAGACAGTTCCTATACTCCTGTCTGCGCCCTTGTTCCTGCATGGACTCAGCCTTGGGTTCTTCCTCCCTCTGGGCTGTCAGTCCTTGGGAGTTCCAAGAGCAGTACAATGGGCATCACATTTTGTCCAAGGCCATCCTGTCCACCCTGCCCTCAGGCCTGCACCAGCTCCTGCTAGCAGGTCAGCCCCTTGTGAAGCAGGGTTGGGGATGGACTCCATCATCTCCCAGTTCCCTCCCAGCTCAGAGACTTGGAGCCTCCGGGCTGCCTCAGCTCTGACTCTCATCCATGCACCCAAGGATTCTTCTCTTTAGAAGCAGTTTTCCACCTAAATCGGAACTCCTTTCTCTGCAACCTCCTGACCTCTGAACTCAAAAGGACACATGGCCTCAGTATTCCTGTCCCAGCCTCTCTTGCACCTCCAAAGCTCCTTCCCTTCAAAGAGAAACAGAATGAAGGCCACTCCAGAGGGAACCACAGCGGAAGCTGGCAAAGGTGAGGAAAACCTCAGCATCTGGGGGGCCCTGGAAGTGCATGAGGCCGCCTGCCCCCACAGTCAGTGAGTCTCAGGGAGAAGCCTGGAAGGGACAGAGGTGAGGGGGTGGGGGTGGAAAAGAAGAGGCTAATGCTGCTAAAAGCAAGGATCCTCAGGAGCCACATACGCCTCTGAGCCCCTTCCTTCCTCTCAGCCCCTTCCACACGTGCCCCCTGCTCCTCAAGCCTTCCTCTGCTGCCTCCAACATCGTCGTTCCCATCACCCCTGCTTCTTCACCCACCGAACCACATGCACACACATCAGAACGCTGTCTCACAGCCAAAGGACGGGCACAATGGGAGGGGAGGAAAGGACTCTAACAACAATGCCGGGCTTGGGATGCGGGGGTGCAGGAGTGAGATGTCAACATCCCGGGGCAGAGGAGGGGAGAAGTCAGGAGCAGGGCCTTCTCCAAGGTGGAGCTTAGGATGAACTCCCTCTTGCTGGGGTTCATTTGCTGGGTACCCCGGGTACCCCAGGGGAAGGGCAGTGCCCGAACTTCCAGAATCTCCTTCTTCTGCCCACCCAGGCACTAGAGGCCATGCCCCAGTACCCACTGACAGGCACTAGAGACAGCGCTCTGGGCTCCCCTGGGACAAAGCCAATAGGGCCTCTTCCAGTCCAGAGCTCCTGAGCCAACAGCTGTAGAGGGAACATTTCCTGGCCTGCCATCATCTCGGGCTGGACAAGGGCCTGCCTGGCTACCATCCCCTCAGGCCTTCCTTATACTCTTATGGTCTCTCGAGGTGGAGGATGAGGCTGCCGCCCCATCTGTGACAAGGGAGGGGGCCCCTGAACACATGGGACAAGCCCAGCTAGAGAGAACGGCCACCCCACCCCACCCAGGCCTTTACTGGCCTGACGTCTTCAGAAGAGTCTAGAAAAACAACAGTAGCCATGTCCAACTCCTCCAGCAGGTGGCCTTCAGACAAAAGCCTCCACAGTCTGTCCAAGTCTGAACACAAAGATGACCGTGGCCCAGCGCCTCTCAGCCTCTCCTCCCCAGCCTCACTGAGCTGGTGATGAGAAGAAAGAATACAGATGCTCCTTTCTGATGCTGCTCCGCCCTCCCGCCCTGGCCCTTGGTCCTCCAGCCCTTCAGGGGGGCGGCGGCAGCTTTAAGTCCAGCAGGCTGTAGGCAAAGATATTCCAGAAGATAGCAAACAGCACAAATACGCTGTACATGGCCACGAAAATCCACCACAGCGACTGGTCCTGCAGCCTCTGCTCATAGTTCCTCAGGACCACCACGCCCAGGGTGATGCCTACAGCCACGCCACCCAAGTGCGCCACGAAGCTCGGGTGCGGGCACGGCGGATAGGCCGATGGGTGGAACCGGAGCCACACGGCCCGCCCGAACTCCATGCTCACTGCAAGGGGAAGAAGCACAGAGAAGTCACAGGAGGGGCCACAGGGAAGGGGCTGAGGGAGAGGCCTTACACTCCATCCAGCCATTCAGCCAGCCAGCCACCAGACACCCACCCTCCCATTAACCCATTCACTGCAGAACAAGCCCTGTTGGCTCTGTGTGCTGCAGATGTAGTAGTGAAGACGGACACACCTCTGTACTCCCAGAGCTTATACTGAAGCATCTGGCAACCAACCAGCACACAAGTACTCAAGCAGCTCACAAGTACATACATGAGATCACTGCAGTACGAGAAATTCCCCAGGAAACAAAAAGAGGTGACTTAAAGTCGATGCTGGGTGTCAGGAGGGGGATTCTTCAGTGTGGGGAATCAGGCAAGGTTTCCCTAAAGAGGTGACATTTGAGCTGAGATGTGAGTGTCAAGAGAGGACCCTCGGAAGAGCGCTTCAGGCAGAGGGGATGGGCCACAGAGAAGGCTCTCGCGTCCTTGCTGTCACGTGTCCCGAAGGCTCAGTCTCCCCACCTTTATAAAGTCACAGCTTCTGTGTGCCAGGCTCCGCTGCTGGAAAAAGAGTAACAACTCGATGTGCTAGCACTTTACAGTGTATAAAGTGTTTTCACGTATTATTTCAAAACCCTTAGGGAACCCTCAGAGCCAGTGCTTTTGTGGTTGGAAGGAAGGGATGGAGGGGGAGAAGGGCCAAGGAGGAATGGAAGTAAACGGTCCCGACAAAGTGCTGGAATCTCTCTTCACAGACTCTAAAATGCCCCCACTCACTCTCCAGGCCAGGCTTCCTGCAGGAACTTCTTGCACTGGCCAATCCAACGGGGATGAACTCTCTTGAAAGATAAGTGCCAGGAAACTGCCATTTCATTACCTACTTATCCAAGGACACCAAGGGCAGGTACTCTTACCCCCACTTTACAGATGAGGAAACCAAGGCAAATCTGACAGATCGAAACAACGCCCTGTAAGGGGACTTCTGTCCTGGCTCAGTTACCATTTATTTAATCAGTGCAACTCTCTCCACTCTAACCACTACAGGGTGTCAGCACCTCCAGAGGATTGCCTGCCTTTCTGGCACGGGCCCTGCAACTCCAAGGACGGCCGATAGATGGCGGAAAAGGAGCAGCCAAGCACAGACGCTGTGTCCTGCCCCCCAATTCCTCCCCAGGCCCTGGGTTCCACAAGGGGGATGTGAAGGACTTCCAAAACAGCATTTTAGTTTTTATGATGCTTAGAGTTTTTTTTAAGTGTATTGACTTTAAAGAGAGAGAAGGGGGGAGGGGGAGAGAAAGAGAGTGAAAGAGAAAGAGAGAGACATGGATTTGTTGTTCCACTTATTTTTGCATTCACTGATGGGTTCTTATAAGATGCCTTTACTGGGGATCGAACCCACAACCCTGGCATATCAGGATGATGCTCTAACCAACCGAGCAATGCGGCCAGGGCCTAGAGTTGGTTAGTTTTTTTAAACAGCATGACTAATGCTTCTCCTCCCTTCCTCACAAACAGACACACTCGAGTCTGAGCCTTCGGGGAATCTCTGCTCCCTCCTCCCCTCCTCCGCTCACCCCTTGCTTTTCCCTTCTGTCCCATCACTGCCCTGGCTCAAGGAGCCTGTGAGCTTTAAGGCTGAAGTTCCTTTGGAAGTAGAGGTCCTCCAACAGAAGCTAAGACCAGCGAGTGAGGGTGTGAATGAATCGAGAACACCGCCGTGGTGAATGCAGTGGAGCCCACAGAGGTGTGGGCTACATGGTGTCTACATGACGAACACCTGCCGGCCCCCCGCTTCCCACCAGCTTTCTGGCTGTCGTCCTCTTCCGCACGGAGTAGGTGGCTGGTCCTCCTGTGTCAGTCAGGGTGCTCCTGCCCAGCCCAGCTACAGTGTGGGGCATTAAAAATGGCACAGGCTGGCTCCGAATTCAGCTCTGTCACCTCTAGCTGGGGGTCCCAGGGCAAGAAACTTCTCTCTCTGAGCCCCAGTACCTACCTGAAAATGAAGCCAAATAGCTGTGTCCTCAGCACTGAAGGGCAGACTGTGTGCTCCTTTTTCTCCGTTCCTACCTCCCTCACTTCAGTGCAGCCTATTACCTTTTTCTATCCCAGGTGAGCCTCTCGCCCTCTGGTCTCAGCCCTGCACACTCAACTCCTTCCCCACACTGAGCCAGGCTTGTCTCCTAAAACCCAAATCTGGAAGATGGCAGCGGAGGCAGACATGGCTCACCTCTTTGCACAACCACATCAAAATTACAACTAAAATATGAAACAACCATCACTTGGAACCATCGAAAATTAAGTGGAATGGAAGCCTGAAACCATAGAATTAAAGAAACCACATCCTTCTAGACTGGTAAGGGGCACAGACACAGAACTGGCTGGTCCCACACCCACATGTGGCAGATAAAATTCGGGAGGGATATCTCCGGAGTGAGGAGTCCTAGCCCCGTACCAGGGGCCCCCAGCCCAGGATTCCAGTGCCAGGAAGATTATGTCCCCACAACCTCTGGCTGCAAAAACCAACAGGAACTGAGGCAGTGAAAGAAACTTCTGGAGCCCCAAGCAGCTCCTCTAAAAGAACCCACGGACAGACTTACCAACTCAGACTCACTCCCTCTGAGCTCCGGCACCAGAGTGGCAGCTTGGAAGGCACCAGTGGCATGCTGGGAGAGACTGAGGTGACTGGCATCCAGGTGAGCAGAGGCCATTGTCCCTCTTCTGGGCCCTCTCCGCATAAAGCCATGGAGCTGGTAAGCTGGTGCCATAGCTGAGATTCCATCAACCTCGCTAACAGTCTGACCTGCCTTGGAGATCCCCAGAGACTCTGCCCCAACCAGCTCATAGGCCCGCTCAAGCTGCTTTTTCTTACTAATGGCTGGTCTGGGCTCCTGCTGCACAGCTTCCTAAATCCTCTCAAACAAGCAACAGCTGGCCTCAGTGAGCTCCAGGCCTGGCACTAGCAGCAGCCAGCCTAGATTCACAGCTTAGCTTTGCCTGGGACTCTCCAAGCCCAGCAAGAGTAGCAGCCATCTCACATTGCTTTATAGCTCAGGTAGAGTGGCCCTAGGTGAAACACAGGTGGGGGCTGACCTTGGCCTGAACCACTCAGGAAACCCCAGGGCCAGTGCACCCAGTGGACAACTAAAGACCAGGTTAGAGCACCACCACCCTGCCCTGCACAGCTGATTCTCCATGGAGCGTGGAGGTTGGTGGTAAATGGTAACAGCCAGTCCTTGCAGTTGACTAGACTGGGTAAATCCCTCCCACTGATCCACCAACAGCAACCAAGGCTCAACTACAAGAGGAGGGTGTACTCAGCCCACACGAAGGGCGCACCTCAAATACCCAGCTTGGGTGATAGGGGAGGCTGCGCCACTGGACCCAACAGGACACCTACTACATTAGGTCAAGACATGGAGTCAAAGCAGCTCTACCTAATACATAGAAACAAATACAGGGAGGCTGCCAAAATGAGGAGACAAAGAAACATGGCCCAAATGAAAGGACAGATCAAAACTCCAGAAAAAGAGGTGAACAAAATGGAGATAAGCAATCTCTCAGATGCAGAGTTCAAAACACTGGTCATAAGGATGCTCAAGAAACTTAGTGAGGACCTCAGCAGCATAAAAAAAGATCCAATCAGAAACAAAGGATATGCTAATTGAAATGAAGAACAATTTACAGGGAAACGACAGTGGAGAGAATGAAGCCAAGAATCAAAACAATGATTTGGAACAAAAGGAACCAAAAAAACAGCCAGTCAGAACAACAAGAAGAAAAAAGAAGCCAAAAACATGAGGACAGTATAAGCAGCCTCTGGGACAACTTCAAGAGGTCCAACATTTGCATCACAGGGGTGCTAAAGAGAAAGAGCAAGAAATTAGAAATCTATTTTAAAAATTGTGAAAGAAAACTTCTCTAATTTGGTGAAGGAACTAGACATGCAAGTCCAGGAAGCAGAGAGTCCCAAACAAGATTGATACAAAGAGGCCCACTCCAAGACACATCACAATTAAAATACCAAAAGTTAAAGATAAAGAGAGAATCCTGGCCCTGGCTGGCATAGCTCAGTGGATTGAGCATGGGCCTGTGAAGCAAAGGGTCACCGGTTCGATTCCCAGTCAGGGCATGTACCTGGATTGCTGGACAGGTCCCCAGTGGGGGACACATGGGAGGCAACCACACATTGATGTTTCTCTCTCACTCTCTCTCCTTCCCTTCCCCTCTCTCTAAAGATAAATAAATAAAATATTTTAAAAAGAGAGAGAGAATCTTAAAGGCAGCAGGAGGAAAGCAGATAATTACCTACAAAGGAGTTACCATAAGACTGTCAGCTGATTTCTCAAAAGAATCTTTGCAGGCTAGAAGGGGTTGGCAAGACATAGTCAAAGGCATGAAAAGCAGGGACCTACAACCAAGCAGAAACCTACTACCCAGCAAAACCGTCATTTAGAATCAAAAACATATAAAGAGCTTCCCGGACAAGAAAAAAACTAAAGGAGTTCATCATCACCAAAACACTATTATATGAAATGTTAAAGGGACTTATTTAAGAAAAAGAAGACCAAAAACTATGAACAATAAAATGGCAAAAATACATATCTATCAAGAACTGAATCTAAAAAACAAACCAAGCAAACAAGAACAGAGACAGAATCATGGACACAGAGAGCATTTTGATGGCTGCCAGATGGGAGGGTGTGTGGAGGAATGGGTGAAGAAGTGAGGGGATTAATAAGTACAAACAGTTACAGAACAGCCAGGGGGATGTTGAGCTCAGTACAGGAAGTGGAGTAGCCAAAGAACTTATACACATGCCCCCTGGACTAAACAATGGTGGGGGGATTGCCTGAGGGAGTGAGGGGTGCTGGCTGGAGGGGAGCCACGGGGGAAACATCAGGACAACTATAAAAGCATAATCAGTATATAATTTTAAAAATAAAATAAAACTAAAATCTGTCAGTAACTTGAGCTTAAAGCCCTCCTGGGCCCTTCTAGTATATTCAGGATCAAGTCAATCTTTCTCTTTCCATTTAAAGTTGTTCAGGATTGGACTCCTATTGTCTCTTATCAGAAACACACACGGTCCCAAACCTCATAGGTCAGATTTGCAATCAACTTGTAGGCCATGACCCTTCACCCACCCATGTCTTTGTTCGTGCTGCCCCTTGGCCTGAAATGCCCTTTTCCATGGTGTCTATATGATGAACACTTGGCGGCCTTGAAAAATCAACATGACCTTTGCAGGTAGAACTGACTTCCCCTGACCAGGGCCCTCGCCACAGCCCATTTGTAAAGGTTCATGGATTAGTTACAGTTGGTAAACCTGCTAAAACTACAAGTTTTAGTTGGCGCGCGCACACACACGCGTGCGCACGCACACACACACACACACACACACACACTTTTTCCAGGGGAGGTATAGAACATCCCAAAGGACAGAGTCCAAGACCCACAAGGTTAAGAAGTTACTTTTCCTGATCTGGGTGCTGGTCATTGAGCTGGGCACTAACGCTGTGTGTGCTTCCCTGTTTTCATATTAACAGCAATAAAGAATTTTAAAAGGGTTAAGAAGCAGAAGAGTGGGCCCAGCTTCTCCCACCACATCCCACTTTGTTGCACACTACTGACACGGCCCCCCTTTTCTTTTTCTTGACCACAAGCCCCTGAAGGATGGGGGCTATGGCATCTTTATGTCCCCCAGGCCCAGTGCAGGGCCCCCTGCCCGCCAGCCTGCCCCGTCAGGACTTACTACAGATCAAGGCCACAGCCATCCGCAGCAGCTTGAATTGGCACTTCATGCCTGACCAGTTCTAGGAGAAAAGGAGAGTTCTGTTAGTGCCAGGTCAGACCACGCCTCTGCAGAAATATCTCACCTAAGAAAACCTGGCATTTAAAAAGGTCATCTCCAGGGGACTTCCGCCAAGATGGAGGCATAGGTGGATGTGCCGTGCCTTCTCACACAACCAAGATTAGAGAAAACTAAATATTAGCAACAGAAACACAGCCAGAACACGGAAAATTGAACTTCTCGGAAGTCCGTTAACAACAAATTCTTCAGCCTGACCGGTAAGGGGCGAAACCAGCGGCTGGCGGAGCAGGGTTGCGCAGGAGGACTCGGCCAGACACACTCAGGCCCGCGGAATCCAGGCGCAGGGTCAGACCTAGTGAGCGACCCAGCGAGCAACCAGGCGAGCGACCGAGGGGGAGACAGCCGGGCCCAGGGCTGTGTGTTGACTGAGGTCACGCATTTGTGCGCGGGTGGACAGGCGAGAGAGTGGGCGGTTGGACTGGGCCGGCAGGTCCCCACGGCAAGCGGCAGTGGAGGGCGCCGCCATTTCCCTGCTCTGACCCCACCTCCACATACAGCGTCATAACCCAGCGACTCTGAGTGGCCCGGCCCAGGTGAACCACCTAAGGCACTGCTCCTCCGCACCCAGCTGTGAGAAGCGGCAGAGGGGGTTGCCATTTCCCCGCTATGGCCACGCCCCCACATACAGCGTCACAACCCAGCGACCTGGGAATCCAAGGCGCCGCTTCTCACATTTAAAGGGCCCGAACAGACCAAGAATGGCGCAGGAGGAGCTCAGAGCCCCAGAGCCAATAAATCTAAGCGATGAAGAAATAGCAAAACTCACAGACGCACAGTTTAAAACATTGGTGATCAGGATCCTCACAGAACTGGTTGATTATACCGACAAATTAAACAAATATATGAAGGCGAAACTAATTGAAATGAATGGAATTGCACAGGTCACCAATAGCAATGAAAAGGAAACTGGGACTCAAATCAATGGAGTGGACCAGAAGAAAGCAAATAATGGCCAAACAGAAAAGAGTCAAGAAGCAAGAATTCAAAGAAATGAGGAGAGTCTTAGGAACCGACAATGAAAAAAAACGGCCTCCAGGACATCTTTAAACGCTCCAACATCCGAATTATAGGGGTACCAGAAGTGGGAAAGGCACAGCCACCAGTGGAAAACTTATTTGAACAAATAATAAAGGAGAATTTCCCCAAGCTGGCAAAGGAAATAGACTTCCAGGAAATCCAGGAAGCTCAGAGAGTACCAAAGAAGTTGGACCCAAGAAGGAACACACCAAGGCACATCGTAATTACATTAGCCAAGATTAAAATGAAGGAGAGAATCCTAGAAGCAGCAAGAGCTAAGGGGACAGTCACCTACAAAGGAGTCCCCATCAGACTGTCAGCGGATTTCTCAAAAGAGACCTTACAGGCAAGAAGGGGCTGGAAAGAGGTATTCCAAGTCATGAAATCTAAAGACCTACAACCAAGATTGCTCTATCCGGCAAAACTTTCATTTAAAATGGAAGGACAGATAAGGTGCTTCTCAGATAAGATCAAATTCAAGGAGTTCATCATCACCAAGCCCTTATTATATGAAATGTTAAAGGGACTTATCTAAGAAAAAGAAGTTAAAGAAACATGAACAGTGAAAGGACAACAAACTCACAGTTATTAACAACCACACCTAAAACGAAAGCAAACTAAAAGGACAGCTAGATCAGGAGTGGAAACATAGAAATGAAGATCTCAAGGAGGGTTAGCAACAGGGGAGTGGGAGGAGGAGAAGGGGGAGAAGGTACAGAAAATAAGTAGCATAGACAGTAGATAGAAAATAGATGGGGGGGGCAAGAATAGCATGGGAAATATAGAATCTAAAGGACTTGAGACACATGGTCATAAACTAAAGGGGGGGTGATGGTGGGGATGGGGGGTAGGGTGGAGGGGAATAAAGGGGGAATAGAACAACTGTAACAGCATAATCAATTAAAAAATTAAAATAAAATAAAATAAAATAAAAAGGTCATCTCCATTTCGTCCCAAGTGAGGGGGTTGTGGCTTACTTGCGACCACACCAGCATGGCTTTGAGATTTTAGGCAACCGTAAGTTTATCGCTGCTGAAAGCGCCTGAACTGCACTAGCAGAAGAAGAGAATCTAGGTCCCTGTCTCCTCTGCACACACAGATGACGCCTGGAGCTGCATTAATTGCTGGGTCCAGGGTTGCAAAGGGATGCAGGACAGCAAACCAAGGCAAGTTAAAGCAGAACCATCAGCATGATGCAAAAATTCAAAATCCTGCATATGAGGAATGAATAATCAGAAGACTCGGGAGACAAGTTCACTGTTGTCGAGAATCAAGTGAGTCAATGACATGAGGAAGAGGCACATTCAATGGAACCTGCAAGCAAAAGACTAATTGAATGAAAACTTGAGAGATCTTACTTTAGCAAGAGAAAATAATCAAATTTAATATGTACGTATATATGGGAACCTGGAATACAGGAGAGTCAGAGACCTCACGTGCAGGGAGGTTCAGAGGCAGAAAGGAAACCTGGGTGAGGAAGCCATACTGGGCTGGGGTGGGGGCTTCGAAGGGTCACTACAGAATACAAGCTGGTGCTCAGTAACCTGAAGTTTGTTCTGCCTTACAGGTAGGTCAGAAGAGGTTATCTCTAATGATCTCTTACTAAGGACAAGGCCCCTAATTCAAGGGCTTCTAGGTAGTTAAGGGAGGCGCAGAAATTCCTTTCAAGCCCAGCAGTTAAAGTTGACCTTAGCTCTAAACAAGGGCACAGAGGCACATCTTGGGGTGACTCATGTGGAACCCCCATAGTTCCTTCCTCTGAAACTGCCCTGGAAGTTCCACATTCCAGAAGCTGGGTTGGTAGATTGTTCTGTATCTCAATAAACTGGTCTCAGTCTAGAGGACAGTTCAGTTCAGCTACACAGTTGTGTCTCATTTAGGGATGCAGGTGAGCTCCCGAAGCTAGGGTTAGGGTTGCAAGCAGTCAGGCATTTAATACGAGGTATCTCTATGGAGACAAAAGAAAAACAAAGGCTAATGATGGGAGCAGACCAGTCTCAGTCTCTGAGTTCTGAAGGCAGGCAGCTGAGATTTCTAGATGTCTGTCTCTAATCATCTTCAGATGGAGTGAAGGCAGGCGGTTATAGTCTGATAAATTCAGAGAAAGGGGAAAGATTTTTTCTTTTTAGCTCAGAATAAGTTTCCATCTCTAATAAGCAGAGCTGCCCAAAGATGGGATGACCTGTCTTGGGGGACAGTGAATTTCCCATCATTGACACTGAGGGGCTCAAACAGGGCTTTGCATCAGTTGGAGGGGAGGCTCTAGAATCAGGCTTTGGAAAGGGGTGGGCCAGACGGCCTGCAAACCAATCCCTCTTTCCCCTGAGACTCTCTGAACATGCTGAACCTCCAAAGAAGATGAACAGAGTACGATTATTCACCTTACAAAAAGAGTTTTCACTTTACAAAAGACCTCGCCACAGGGTTCCTGTGAGGCGCACTCCTGCGGTGCATTCAAAGCACTATTCCATTTATACGCATGCGTGACGTACACACACACACACCAGACCTAGGGAAGCAGACGGCCGGGGACAGCTAGGGGCTTCGCTCCCTCCCCACCCACTCTGCCTCCGCTGCCTGGCCCAGGCCCAGCTGGGGGGCCTGTCTCGCACCCCCTCGACAATGGGGGACACGTGTTGCAGGGGCCCTGAACCCTGACTGGCACACACAATAACATCTATGGAAGCTTCAGGGCAGTAAACAGGATTCAGGGAAGCTGCCCAAAACAGAGAGAAATCCTGTGTCATTGGGCTTCTTGCCCCTCACGCCCCTTCCCTCCATTATTCCTCACTGACTGGCAAGCCCTTCTTCACGAAAGGCAAGGTGGGCAACACATGGCCCCTCTTTAGATGGGGACGTCTAATCTTTGCTCGCTGACACGTTCTGTGCTGAACATGGAGGTGGCAGGACAGCGCTGTCACCTCCTGGTGGAAGGTGGTGCTCTCCACTGATCGGGCAGCCCGCTCTGAGCTGGCTCAGCCAGCTGATGGAGGGCAGCCTCCTCCCTCCCTCCCTCCGAAGCTCTTCTCCAGGATGAAACGTCAGGATCCTTGGGAGTCAACTGATGGACCATTTTCTCCTAAAGGGGACACCATTGCCAAGCCACCAACAAAATGCACAGTACAACACCTGCCTGGTCCCTGAAGGCACTGGAGTTTGCCAAGCTGATCCATTCACACCCTCTCTCCCGCCCTTTAAGGAAGAAAAAACTGAGGGTCCAGGAGGACTACTAGTTCAAGGTCATACATAGTGAGTTGATGGCGATACTGAAAGGATTCCTAATCCAGGGCTCTGTCTGCCCACACTTGTGGGACAGAGTCAAGTTCTGTCTGTCCCTGCTGTCTGCGCCGGCTGTCCCTAAAATGGAGCAAATGTTAACAAAAGCCCAGTCTCCCAGCAGCTGAGTGGTTAAGCTAAGAAGTCACCCCTTCCCACCAGCTGCTTCATTTCTCCAACCCATTATTCCCGCTAATAAAATGAGTGCAGTTAAACAACAGGAGAGAAGGGGGAAAAAAATCTCCCACACAGCCAGCACTGCTGCTGCTCTAAATGTTGGGAAGCTCGCAGGCCCCTGGGGAATGCAAAGCTTTTGCAGACTTTTTGCAGACCTTTTAATTTCACTCTCTCCCAGGGCCAGGGTGCGATGGTAACTCACCCAGGCCAACCCAGGCAGTAACCAGTCCCTCGGGCGTCTACCAGTTAACAGCTCAGAGGCTGAAACCCAGGCAGGGAGCTTCCTTTCCACACAGCTTTACATAGTCTGGGTAGAAACTGTCTTTGTTTTTGTTTTTTAATCTGTTATTGATTTTAGAGGGAGGGGAGGGAAGGGAGAGAAACACTGATGTGAGAGAGCAACATCGATTGGTTGCCTCTCATACCTGCCCTGACCAGGGGTGGAACCCGCGACCCCGGCATGTGCCCTGACTGGGAATCGGATCCGCAACCGTCTGGTGTGCAGGACGCTGCTCCGACCACTGAGCCGCACTGGCCAGCTCTAGAAATAGGCTTTTTTTTTTTTTTTTTCGCTAAATGACTTCAAGAAAATCCGACAGAGGACACAGAAAAGCATGACACATACATTAGGGAATGATGATTGGTCCCACAAAAGGATTTTTACTTAATAAAGTGAACCTTATGACATAAGGGTTTTTGTGCCACTCGGCAACCTTTCCTTGTGCTTTCACAAGAGGGTGTAATCTGCGAAAATTCGGACCTCAAACAACTAAGGAAAACATCTACCATATGGAACAAAGTATGAATACATATCTTGCATATTTAAAATGGAAATCTGGTCTAGGGGCCCCAGCAAAATGCCATTAATAAGTTATTGAAGTGTGGGCGTCCTTATCCACCCAGTTAGTTTAACGAGTCTTAACTGTTGGTCTCCTGTGTCATCCAGACCTTTTGCTGAAATAGTTTCTAAGTTTAATCCCTGGCTGTAAACGGCAAGCTTTTTGAAAGGCAAAGTGTTTTCACAAAAAATAAGGCATGCTCTGATTTGAGGCAGAATCTCTCATTAAAACAGGCAGCCCTGAGAACCCAAGTGTCAAACATTTTTCTATTATGTATCTGAAGCAAAAAGGACTCGTTTTCTGATTTCCCTATGTCCGGATATCAGGCAGAATTTGTCAAGATAAAAATTACATGTATACAGCCCTGGCCAGGTGGCTCAGTTGGTTGGAGCATTGCCTGGCCACCAAAAGGTTGTGGGTTCGCCCCCCCAGGGGGAGCGTGTACAGGAGGCAGCTCATCGATGTGTCTCTGTCACACTGATGTTTCTCTCTCTCCCTCTAAAAACAACAATAAACACATCCTTGGGTGGGGATTTAAATGCAGTGTACATGTACAAATATATATGCACACACACACAGGCTCTCCCAGCTACACGGTGGTTCGCCCTACAGGAAGCATCTCTCAGCCATTTTTTCACGTCTTCCTCACAACTACCTTGTGAAGGAGGGAGTGCAGGTGGGGGAACCAAGGCCCCAGAGGTTGAGGAACCCGCAGCCACTAAAATGGTGACGCCTACACCCAAATCCGGACTGTCTGTCTGTCTGTCAGGCCCGCGCTGCTTCCCCTCTCTGTCCTGACAAGCGGTTTTGCCCTGTCCACAGACACGGGCCAACCTCCATTTTGGAATTAAAAGCAGGAGCATATTTATTCAGTTGAACCACATGAAAATGGCAACGTTGAAGTGCGTCTGACCCACAGAAATGGCAATTTCATATGGTCGGACCTAGTGCATCTCTGAGTTGCTGGGCATGGAGCTCGTTGGGGTAAAGGTGGCCTCTTGACGAAAGGAAACCAACCTTTTGAAATGAGAAAGTGAGGGTTTTTTTTCACCGTCAAATGAGCACCATACAACGTTCCAAGGAAAGGCACCCGTACATCAGCTCTGGGGACTACGAAGCAGCTCCCTGCTGGCCAGGGAAAACCGTGCCCTTCGGGAAGGGCAATGGGCTCCCGGCGGCGCCACAGGCCTGGGCTGCTTGCCAGGAGGAAGCAGAACCTGGAACAAAACTGCTTTCACACCTCCCTCCTCAACCCCCTGCCCCGCCCCGGGGTTCTCGGGGTGGTCCGCCCTCACCACGGGCATCGGGGCATCAGGGCTGTTTCCCAGGATGTGGGGAAGGGGGTAGAAACCGGGCATCCTTAGGAACTCCTGTCTGCTTCTTCCTCCCCATGTTCTCCTAGCTGCGCTTGTTCATCCCCTTACTCACAGACGTGTCTTGTGGGGGAAAGGAGAGGGGTGACTCGAATTTCCTTCCCCTACAGAAGGAACTGGGGCAGGGGGAGGGGGAGTGCAGGAGGTGGAATTCAGAGGAAAAGCCGTGTCTGGGGAGAGCGGCGGCACTGATACAGAACTGACCCATTTAGGAGGGCCCTGTGAGGCAGCACGGTGCTCCTGGGTTCTCAGCAGACCAACCCGTGTGTGTGTGTGTGTGTGTGTGTGTGTGTGTGTAAACACGAGTAAAGGCATACAGACTCACACACACACTCACACAGGCTTTCCCACACCTGCTGTAGTTCTCCAAGTGCTCCCTTGAAGTTGCCACAATGCAGGCAAGTAGCAAGCGTAGTCAGCGTCCCTCTGTGAGTCCTTCCCGTCTCATCTCTCTTCCTGCCTTTCCTTTCTCCACCCCTGCCCCTCAGTGTGCAAGGGGGACTCTGGTGACAAGAAAAGGATTTGAGGAGTGGGGCAAGTGAGAGTGACAACACATAAATGGGAAAATCTGGGAACTCCCCAAACACACAGAACCCACGAATATTCACACATCTGCCACGTGGTGGACGCAGTCATGACGAGGGAGGCAAGTCCGGAAGGACCTGCAAGAGAAGCCATGACTTTTCTGGACATTGTTCATTCCTTCCTTCCTCGCTCACCACCATTAGTGACCTTACTCACCAAGGGTCCAGCCCTGCTCCAGGCACCGGGGAATCAAGATGAGTCAGGTCTGGGACCTGCCTGGAGGCTTCCAGGCCAGCAGGGGTGTCAGCCAGTGGTAGCCGTCAGTCACTGCCGAGACTCCTCCTCTGGCCTGCAAATGCCAGGCTACTTCCAGAACAAGGAAGCAGTTGCCTTGGCCTCTGCGGAAACTATCGGGTTGACCCTGACTTCGTGCCTGGAAGGAAGACCCCATCTCTATTTGGAGTCTACCGTGGTCTCTTCTGTGAGGATCAGGATTGAAGTCAACACTTGAACCGAGTGGTTATTTCACTTTATCTCATTGCTCACCTATCATCCCATTTCACACCTGTACCAACTAAGACACAGAGCAGTGAAGTCACCTGCCCAAGGGCACTCTTTAGGGAGCGAGCGGCTGGGATTCAGATCTGGGCTGACTGGCTCGTGCTCTTAACCATTCACTACGTGGCCTTTCGGGAGAGGACAAAGAGGAGGAGCGGGGGAAGTGGAAGGGCAGTGTCCCGCCACCGTGACGGCTGAAGTAGGAGAACAACACCCAAGTGGTTTGCGGGTGTGGCATCAAGTCCTGATTTTGCCACAAGCTGTGACTTTTTCGACAAATCACTTAATGCCTCAAAGCTGGCTTCTTCCCCCCTGTCATTCCTGTATCCTTTTCAAAACATTTTTTTTTCTTGATTTACTCTTTATTGTATTTTTCATTACCATTTAGTCCCCTTCTACTCCCCTCCCCCCCAGCAATCGCCACACTGTTGTCCGCGTCCATGAGTTTTTCCTTTTTTCAGAGCCTTCTTTTTAATCCGAGAATTTTGATGCAATGACCTCTGAGTTCCCTCTATTTTCAACAATCTATGACAAAACACCAATTACAATTACCATGGTGCGTGCTAGGTGGTTAAGAATTTTAACCCTTTTATAAAAGTCACTGAGTGGGAAAGAGGTGAAATACAGAGATGGGGCAATTCCTAGGCAAGGCCAAGACTGGAGAAAATATGAATCACAAATGGAGGAGCCCCGTTAGCAACGCGCCCACAGACGGCGAGGAGTGTCTGTGGATTTTGCTACCAGCCAGGTCTGCCCGGCACTTGCTGGGCCTTGGGGGAATGCAGATGAGAATCCAAAACCCGGCTCTAGCCCATTAACGCCTGGGCCTAGAGACCACTGAGGGGAGCCCACGAAAGGCATGCTGGGGCAGGAGGTGCTCACCATCACGATGTTGGCCAGGTGGGCAGAGACGAGCGCATACACCCCTCCAGAGGAGCCCACGACCGGCGCGGTCATGTCAGCCACGGACACCGCCAAGGATCCTGGGGCAGAGAGAGAGCGAGAACTCGAGAATGCTGGAGGCAGCTCCCCGCCTCCCGCCTCAAGCCCACAGATGCCACAGCTTTGGGGTTAAGACCCCAGAGCAGAAGGCTCCATCTCCCCCTCCCTTGATCCCACGTCCCCTTGGAGCTCCCTAGAGGATTAATTTATGGCTTGAAAGAACCATTTGATTCAAACTTCTCCTCTTATAGATGGGAAACAAAGACTCAACAGCGGAAAGTGAACATCTGACACTCAATCCAACCTCTGCCTTCCAATGTGCCATCTCAGGGTTCTGGGGCAATGACAAAAATGACAGGAGTAGCGGCCGCAGAAACAGGGGCCACTTACGGGGCCCTGCATGTCAGACACTGGCCAAGCAGAAATGAAGAGACTGAGCCCAGAGTCACCCGGCAGGAAGAACTGGCACCTGGACTTGAGTCCAGGTCTGCTGGTCACACAGCCTGTGCTCTTGGCCTTGACAGCAGCCAATCCCCCAACTGGCGCCGAGGTCAACTCCCCCTCTGCCATCACTCTCTCTGCTCTGCAGCATCTAGAGACAGCTGAGAGCACCTCCAACCTTCCCCGGGCTGAGCGCGATCACAGAAGGCCAACAGGATTTCCAGAGCAAACAGGGCTTCTTCGGAGGGAAAAAAAGTCCTTGAAAAATCCCCAGGAAGAGAGGGAGAGAGATGATGTCATACCCTCTGGGGGAAAGAAAGGTATAGACTCTTGGTCCAGGGGATGACAAACTTTTGTCCTGGGAGGAAAGCTGGGCAGAGAAGAGATGGGAAATGTATTGTTCTGGTCTCATTTCAGTGTGATCAATGCTTTGGCTTCCAGGGAAGGACATGGGAGACTAAAAATAACTGGGAGGTAGAGCCCAGGGCCCAGAGGAGGAGAGGTGGCTGGCCTGGGGAAGTGTGCAGAAATCTCCGCTGGAAAATGCCTGCAGGCTCATGAGCCAATTAGCAGCTGTCTGGGTAGCGAGCGGAGGGCCGGGCAGGAGGCCAAATTGGGCAGGTTCCACAGGAGTGGAGGGCCCACTACTTGCCTCCTAAGGAACCAGAACACCTGACACACTGGGTATGGCGAGCCCTGTAACATCATCCGCCTTCTCCCCATGTACCTGCCCCACCTCTCCCAAGGCTCCTCGGCTCACTGAGATCCTTCAGAGAAGAGATCCCCGCGACAGATTCTTGGTCTCAAGGGGGATGTGATTTCCCAGGAAAACTCAAACTCTACACGGAGAACTCCCAAGTCCTCCTGCCCTCCCAGGGCAACTATAAATCTTTCTTCTCCCCTTTCATGTCTTCCCTTGGGCTTTAATTAAGTATTGATCTATTGTCAGATAGCTTTTTTTAAAAACTGCCTAGCCACGGGGTCAACCATATAGAAGAGGGAGAAAAAAATCCCAGGGTGGTAAATAGACAGGCAGCAGGATCTGCATGACAAAGGATTCCCACGCTCTCCTGGGCGCCCGGCTGGGAAGGCTGCATTGCAGGGCAGCCGAGGGCTGGCTGCCCGAGCTGCAGGCTCCTCAGCTTGCTCCTCATTAATTACCGTTGGGGCACAGAAAGGCTCCCTGGCCTGGCCTCTTCCCTCAGCACAGGTCCCTACAAACAGGCCCAGATCCTGCTCCCTCGGCCTCCCCAGTGACCATCCACCAGGGGAAGAGGCATCGGCCTCCACACACTGACCTCTCCTTCACCCTACCGGTGGATCACAGTCCTGACCTCAGGGTCAGGGGTCAGCCTGGGATCCTGGAAGAAGTATGGAGTGGGGGCGTGGCTGGCTAGTTGTGTGACTGTGGGCATCGCTCCTGAATTCTCCGGGCTTCAGTTTTCCCACCTGCGAAATGAGGAGGTCCCAGGCTTTCCAGCTTTTGAGAAGTGAAGCCCTTTTCCAGTGGAAACCTTACCTAGCTCCTACCCCATGGAGCACAGCACAGACAGCAGCTCTTGCTGAATGGGGGTGGGGCCTGGGAAGCAAACTTTTGCCACCCCCTGGAGGGAACCTCAATGGTTCCTCTCAGGTTAGAAAAGCAACAATTTGAGTCTTGGCCTCAGGTCTAGGTCTGAGGCTCAGATATTGGTTCTAGCATCTTGAACCAGTGACAATCGGGGACCCACCTACCCTACCTTTGTGGCACAGACTTTCCTCAAGTGACTACAGACTGGCCCTGGACTAGAGGGACTGGTGGAGATCCGATTCAAACGCGGGCATGTATGCATATCCATATAGTAACAAAGGCCATCTCCGGCAGGCAGCCTGGGCCAGGCAGGATTCCACCTAACGGACGACAGTTCAGTAAGGCCAGATTGAATTCCATGGAGCTAATTCCAGGGCCGCACAGCATGGGGAGAGAGTAGGAAGGCGGAGGGACAGACCACACCTCCGCACAGCAGCGGACCAAAGTCCAGTCTGGGCTATGAATCCCCCCAAATTCTGGGTCCATGCCTGCACATAGATAAGCTCATGACTTTGCCATAATGTGCAGTTGCAATCATTGTAGCCTGGAACATTTAAAGCAGGTGCTCTCCAACACCTCCCTTGGCCATTAAAAACACCCAAATAAAAATTGGCAGAACATCTCCCTTTAAGCAATGTAACTTTATTTGTGCTCTTGCGTGCTCTTTCATTTGCTCCACATGTATTTGTGCTTAATATGTGCCAAACCCTGTGTTAGGCTCTGGGGATGCACACGTGACTTATAATCTATATAATCTACAAAATAAAAGATTGGTGGAGCATTTCGGATAGTGGGTTTTAAGAGAGTTAAATGGTTAGCCAGCTAATTGTTAACCAAAGGTGAAATGCACATTGGCCTCCAAGCACTGGTCAAAAGCACAGGTGAAACAAGAGTTGCCACCCCAGGCCTAGTACTTCTTAGCTGAGCAAACTGAACAGGTCACTTCACTGCTCTGACGCGCCTGTGAAACGGGGGTGACAGCACCCACCTCTTTGGAGGGCCGTGCCGAATACAGCAGAGGGTCCAGGTGAACCCTTTGTCACGTGCCTGGAATCCTGGACCTTCTCAGCAGAGGTGAGCTCTCATAGTTACAAAATGTGATGGCCTTGGATTTGGAGTATTTTCATTGGGCAGGAATTAAAGGGGCAGGGACTGATGCCTATGGAGACCTCCCTGGGTTTCTAGCCATTAAGGGATCTCCACAAGGGAAATGCCTGCCTTTTGGTTCTCATCACAGGGCAGTGGTTTAGAGTGCGGCCTTTGGGGTTAGACGGCCTGGGCGTGAGCCCAGCTCTGCCACTCCCAACTGTCTTCTCGGGCTCCCTAAGCCTCGGTTTCTGTATCTGTAACAAGTGAAGAGTAACCGCACCTGCCTTACATCATAGATTTTCTGTGAGGGTTAACTAAAATAGGGCCTGCATAGGGCCAGCATTCGATCACTGGCTATGCAGCCAGGGTCTAGCTGTCTGTGAATGGGTCCCCTTTCTGAGCAGAGAGGGAGGAAGGGGTGCGGGCGGATCTGTTAACTCAGTCTTGGAGACAGCACGCTATGTTCTGACGACAGTGCCCTTGGGCCTGCACAGTGACCCACGCAGCACAGTGTGCACCCAGAGCTCTGTGACGCAGCCCCTCACTGTTGCATTTAGCGGGCAAGCTCCCCTGAGCACCCCCCCACCCTGCGCTGGTATCACCGGGAAGTGACACTGCACTGTCCTGCTGTGCGTCCTCTGGTTTTGGTGGGGCCCGAGTCTTTCTGAATCGTATTTCAGTCTTCTGGCTTAGTGGCACTCCCATCTAATTGACGACCAACAGCCAGTGCTCTGCGTGTCTTTCCTGTTCCTCACCATTAACCATCTGGGTCTCCAAGTATCCAGGTTTGGAAAATGTGGCCATAAATCCCCAGATGTCAAGACCTGGGGGGTGTGTGGGTGGCTGAGTCAGTCTGGCACACAGAGATGCTCATTAGACCTTTGTTCCAGGACGTGGAAGGTGCTGGATTCTGGGACAGGCTGGTGTGGGTGCTGTCCAAGGGGGCCAGGATTTTCACCTCAGCACCTGGAGCAGTGAAGGAGATGGCGCGGGACCAACATCCAGGCCGAGGCGTCAGGAATTAGCAGGCCGGCCTGCATGGTGGGGTGAGGCCCTTCCCCTTTTGATTCCTAGGCCATGTCACTTACTCCCGGGGACCACGCCTGCCGGTTGTTTACAAGGCTGATGGTGTCCCACTCTCCTGATGACAACTTTAATGCTACTCAGAAAAGATTAAGATCTTACTCAAACATACATACAAAGCTCCCTTGGGCACAGCTGTCAAGGTGAAGAGCTGAGGCGGCAAACCTTGTTCAAAAAAAAAAAAAAACCTGCCCAGCAATAAAGTTGGAACATCATGAGAGATTCCTGGTGCAGACTTCCTGCACAAACCTGCTCTACTCTCCCCAGCTCACCCAGCCTGCCTCACCTTGCACTGGGGAGGGAAGTCAGGCTGCCCCTGAGCTCAAGGCCATGACCACCTGCCATGAGAGCTGAGTCAGCCAGGGGCCCCAGACTCCTCGGGCTGGCACGAGCGCTTACTACCTTCTAGGCCAGACTCTCTCCTGTCAGCAGTGAGTCAATCAAGGGGACAGTGGCCAGGTGGGCAGAGGCAAGATCTCCCTTTGGGTACAGGTACTGGCTGGCCAGGGAGGCAATAGGCTTCATCCACAGTGTGGGTGTGTCTACAGGGATCTCGCTCTGCCCTCACACAGTTTATATAACACCGTTACTCCATTTGTTAGCTCACCTCGCCATCCCAACACCCTGCAGACAGATCTTATTAGCTCTCTCTTAAGGCTTAATGGGGCCAAGGAATTTCCCCGAGTTCACACAGCTACAACATGGTGGCATAAAGACTGAAAGCCAAGTCCTGCCTGTTCCAAATCCTGTGCTCTCCTCTCCAGAGAGGTGGGGAGATTTGCCTGGGGAACAAGCCCAGTCAGTATTCAGGAGCTTTGGTGATGAGGGTCCTGGGTCCTCTGAAAGCCTGGGGCTTGCCTGACCCCATGAGGATTCCTGGCCTGCCTGGAGAGGTTTCTCCTATACACTAGGGCCCTCCCACCTACCTGCCACAACACCGGCCACGTAGACAAGTCCAATGCGGGTCGCTCCATGCACCATCTCCAAGGGCACCCCCACCAGGAGCTGCAGCGCCACGTTGAGTCCCAGGTGTTCTACCCTGCACAGAGAGGCCACACTCCATTCATCTGTCTATCCATCTGGGCATCTACGCAGCAAACACTGTGCACCGAGATGCTGGAGATGCAGCAGCGAACAAACCCTATACCTGCCTTTGAGGAGCTCATGGTCTGGGATGGGGGGCAGGAATTACAAGACAGACAGTTCACCTTGGAAAGACTGTTCTTTCCATACCTTTCCCTCCACCTGAGGCGAGAACACGTGCAGGGCCTGGGCAGTAACTGGCAGGGTCTGCACTTGTCACAGTGAGAGAGGCTAACCGTGGGCAGGATCCAGCAACTCCATCGGTTGACATGAAAAGCCAAGGCCCAGAGAGGGGCACTGACTAGCTTGGAGTCACAGAGCTGGTTAGTGGCAGGCTGGTACCACAGCCCAGGTCTCTGCTCCACTCACCAGGTCACAAGGGCGTGCTGGCTTGCTACTGTATTTGTAAAGAGCTACTGATATTTAAAGAGAAAGCTGCTTTCAAAATAAATGCAAGCAAGCATTAGATATCTCTCTGAGAGCTTAATAATTCAGTTATTTTTATATATTTAAATATGTCTATGTATTTAAATATTTCATTTAAAACCTGATGGGGGAGGCTTCTCCCTCCTGGTGTGAGAAGGGACCCGTTCTTCCCCTGAACGCTCAGGGCTGGGCTTTCTCACCCTGAAAATGCCTTCCTTTTTACCCCATCACGTGACCCGATCTTCTTGCTAAGTGGGGTCGGGCTGAGTGCATAGGCTACTAGAGAATATCGTAACATCGCTATTATTACATTGATGTGCGCTTTCGAGTTTACAAAGCACTTTAACATCCATTAGCTCATATAAACTGAGCCCAGAGCAGCTGGACAGCTCCCTGGGGATGCTTAAGTTATCGGGTAACAGACATGTAACAAGGGGTCCGGACAGACACTGGCCTGGTCTGCAGGGCTCCGTCTGGAGGCCAGCTGCCCCACTACAGGCAGGGCACGTGGGCACCTGCTTCCCCAGGAGGTGCCTGGGAGGTAGCTCGTGTCTCAGATCAGGCTCTGTCCTGAATTCCCACCGTGCCAGAAATCTTCTAGTCCCTACCGCACCCCCGACTGTGCCAGCAAAAGGATTCTAGATTAGAAATCCAGACACAGTTACTGAAAAGGAGCTGCATGGTAGCATCGGGCTGACAGACAGAGAGACTTCAGAGGTTTTCTGGTCCCGTCTCCTTGGTTTACAGCTTAGAACTTGAGTGGAGAAGAGGACAGATGAGAGGAGCCCAGAGCTCCTGTTTCCCAAGCAGAACTCTTTCTTCTCTACCGCAGTGACCGGCCCGGAGTGTGTCCAGGTCACCCTGCTTGGACTTTCCCTACGTGCTGGCCAGCTGCCCCTATCTCCTGTCTATTGCAGCAGCAGTCAAGAGCCCTCCATCAAAGTCACAGGCCCTCTCCCTGGATGCAGAGCCACTCCAAGCTTTCAGCTGGCAAAGGCAGGCAATGGACAAGGAGGCCATGGAGACACTGTCCATCCTCCTTCCTTACCCCAAAGAGATCAGGGAAGGCCGGAGGGAAGTCCTGCAAACAAGGCAGGTGGTTCCAGCCCACGTGCAGCCTGGACAGGAAAGTCCCCAGTTCCTGTTGTCGCACCATCAGTCTGATGCAGGACGTGCCTCCCTCACTCTGCTCCTTAGCCCTGTGAGGTTACAGCCTGGGACACAGCAGGCAAAGCAAACAGCCTGTGCCAACTGTTCCCTGTGGCTCAGAGTAGAGACATCCATCGCAACCGTCGGAATATCTCCTCACCCAAGCCTGCCCCTGCCCCCGCTGACAGTGCAGCCCATTAAGGTCAGTGTTGGTGCCAGTTTCGGAGGCTCGGCAGGGAGGCTCACAGTGGGGCTCCCTCTTGCCACTGCAAGTCTTTCTGTGGAGGAACGGGAATGATGGAGCCTCGAGGGCCAGAGGGATCCTCTTCCCATTTGCAACCCAGGGCTTGCCCAGACTGACAGTGAGCTCCTTTGTGTCTCTCCCTAGAGAGGCCGTAAAAGACACCACAGAGGTCTGGTGTCCAGGGCCTCCGCTGTTCCAGCTCAGCACTTCCACTGTGTAAAAATGGTCTCCGGCCAAGAGAGCGCTCTTCACGGGAACTGGGTCTGGGGAGTGCCCTGGCCTTACACGGGTAAGGGGCGCCGGTGAGAACTGACGGCAGGCCAGACCTGAAAGAGGCCACACGGCTCTGTGAACAGAACTGTATGCGCTGCCAAAACTCTTCAAGAAGACTCTCAGCACATAGGGAGAGCAGTTGGGAAGAAGGCTGTGTCAATAAGTCTGTCCTTTATTTCACTGATGGGGGCACTCACACACACACACAAACACACACGTGCAGTTTATGGATAATGAACTTGGTAACTGACCACATTTCCTCTTTGCTTTGGCCACTAGGAAGCTCAGAAAAAAAATTATAATCCACTTTTAGCAAGTACACAGACTCACAGGCTGTGAGTGTTTGTGCTGATTTCACTGTGGTGTTATGCATTTTCCTCCCTCTACTTTCCCTTTCCCATATGCTCTCAATAACTCCTGTGCTGGTATTAGGTGGGTTCCAAGAAGCCACTTCAAATTCTGTGTCCAGGGAGGTAAACTAAAATATATATTTCAAACCAGGCTATCTGGGGCACTTATTTTTCCATAGGGACTTAAAAAATTCTTTTTTGCTTATTTATTTTTAGAGAGAATGGAAGGAAGGGAAAAAGAGGGAGAGAAACACTGATCAGTTGCTTGTCATATGGGCTCTGACTGGGGATGAACCCACAAGCCAGGCATGTGCCCTGCCCGGGGATCGAACCAGCGACCTTCTCTGTTGCTGGATGACAAGGGCTCCCTAGGGACTGTTGACAGAACAGAAGGAGATGGGTACTCACCCCGCGTGCATGAAGATGTACGTCAAGTAGCGCCAAGCCTGTGCTCGGAGCTGTGGGTGGTAAACCAGCGCGTTCTGCAGGTAACGTGGATGGGTTACCTGCAGCACGAACTGATCCAGCGACACTCCATTGTAGAGGAAAAAGGCAACCTGGATGAAAGCACAGGACAGAGAGGGCCTATTACTGAGTGAAAAACTGCGCAGGAAGCCCTGTCTTGTTGACATCCGGAACCCTCCCTGGAAGTTGTCTTCTGTCCTTCTCAGTTAACGAGGGACGCCCCTGCGGCCAGCGCTTGGCCCAGCTTCGACCATCTCTACCCACTTCTGACTGATCATTTCGTGTTAGAAACATTCACAAAACGGTCCCGTGATCTCTGCCCACACTTCCTTGCTGCGAAGCAGGAAGCGCTTGGAAGATTTTAAACGTTAATGCCAAGAATAATTCACATACCTATTTGGGGGTAAGGCAACTCCACATAAGTTGATTTTTAAAAACTCATAGGTAAAATACATACAGCATACAGTTTGCCATCTGAGTCAGTTTTGAGTGTACGGCTCAGTGGCATTAAGCATGTTTACACTGTTCAGCAACCAGCACCCCCTCCACCCACGGAGTCTCTCCAGCCTGCAACACTGACAGTCTGCGCCCTTCAAACGTTAGCTTCCCGTTCTCCTTTCCCCAGCCTCTGGCAACCGCCGTTCTCCTCTCTGCCTATGAGTCTGGCTACTCTAGGTGTCTTGACTGGCTTATTTCACTTTGCACAACGTCAACAGGGTTTATCCATGTTGTGGATGAGGGCGAAATGTCCTTCCTTTCTTACGCATGAATTGTATATATAAACCACATTTTGCCTATCCTTCTTCTGCTGATGAATTCTTGGGTTGCTTCCACATTTTAACAACTGTGAGTAATTCCTTTAGGAACACAGGTATACAAATGTCCCTCAGAGTCCCAACTTTCAATTATGTGGGGAACACACACAGAGTTGGAACTGCTGGATCACGTCGTAATTCTAAGTTTACTGTTTTGAGTAACCGTCACACTATTTCCCACGGGGGCTGCACAGTTTTAACGCTCCCACCAAAGGTCCACCAAGACCCCGACTTCTTTACATCCTCTCCAATCCCCCGCCTAGGTTGACTTTGCAGATGACTGGCATACTTATTAAAGCCCTAAAAGGTAACGTAACTTTTTTTTCCTGGAACACTTTCTGATACCCATCATTCGTGTCCCTGTGTTCTTAATCAGGATACGTGCATAACCTTTTAGAGATGCCTCTGGTTCTGGTCCGGGTTACAGGACTGATGTCTTCTTCAGGACTACGTTTAAACTTTGTTTTGTTCTCTCCCAAGGTTCTTACTTCTTTTTAAAAAAAATATTTCATTTATTTATTTATTTTTAGAGAGAGAGGAAGGGAAGAAGACAGGGAGAGAAACATCAATGTACGGTTGCCTCTCGCGCACCTGCTACTGGGGACCTGGCCTGCAACCCAGGCATGTGCCCTGACTGGGAGTTGAACTGGTGGTGACCCTTTGGTTCACAGGCCAGCACTCAATCCACTGAGCTACACCAGCCAGGGCCAGGTTCTCACTTCTTACTGCTGGCTGGTAATGAATCCCTTCTGTTTTCTCCCTGTTATGGAATCAGAAAATCAGGTTTCTAGAACTGCATGTAAAACAAAAACCCTAGGCTTTTGTATAAGGACTTTGAAATAGTTATTTCAACATTTTCTTCTAGACTGGTGGTTTGAGTTTACATAGCTGAGGGTTATGGAAATTTGAAACCAATCTGGACATAGAATCTGGCTTCTCTGGATAACCTTGGACAAATTATTTGAATTCTCTGGTTCTCGATTTCCTGATTTGGAAATGGGGATATGAATGCCCACGCTTCCAGGGGTGGTCATGAGGTTTGAAAGAGATTAAATGCACGAAGACGGCCAGGGGCCAGGCACGTGATCCGTGAAGGCAGCTGCAATTAGTGTTGAGTTAAAACTGCCTGTGCTGAGCCAGGCCTGGCTCAGGCCCCCCAGCTGCTAGACTCTCCTGGGCTCTCTGGGGAACCGTCCTGTCCACCTAACAGGATGCGGGTGGCCTGGCAACAAACACAGCTTCCAAGGCAGCTCGTTATTATTTGTCCTCAGATAGAAGTTAATAAATAGACCAACACAGTAAGCATTTGCAGAGAGTCCAAGAATATCTCAGAAAAATTGCAACTTCAATGTGTGCGTGGATGAAGCCTTAACAGCAGAGGCACTCTGGCCTGCAGACCAGCTCTTCTGATTTAGGAGGAAAAAAAGAAGAAGAAGAATGCTATGAGGCTTAATGATCTTGCCGTTTGATTGGGAACTTTACAGGAACATGTGCAGGGGTGGTAATTAGGCCTGTGCCTCTGGAAGAGAAATAGCGGGGATTATAAAACGCCACAGGGATGCAGAGCATCCATTCAGGAGCTGGGGTTGGGGGTCCTGTGGGTTCTTAGGGTGAACAGCCAAAGGAATTCAGAGTTCCTCGCACATGGGCACTGATTCAGAAAGAGGTGCCTTTGGGTCCCAGTTGCAAGAGCAGGCTTTTAGGATAACAATGGGTCTGGATGATCCCCCTAAGGGGAGAATATTCCTTCAAAATATGGTAAGGCCACCTTTACCTGTTCATAGACACGCCCTCGTGTGTGTGCACGCGTATACACACACATGTGTGACATGCTTTGGCGTTCCATTCCTGGCTCAGGAGGGGGCCTATGAGAGAAGGGGCATAGGCCTGCTTATTCCTGCTTCACGGGTGGAGGACGGAGGCCCAGGGGAGCAAACAACTGGTCCACATTACTCACTCGGGGAGGAACTGGACTAAGTGGGCTTTAACAGGTTAACCTGACTAAATCCATGAGCTTGCTCCACTGCTCTGTGGCAGTTGTTTGGGTGGGGCGGTCACAGGGGGGTCTGCTGCAGTGCACGCTGCTGGAAGTAACAACCTCATAACACTGCAACGCCAGCTGCTGTTGGCTCCTCAGCCATCGCCTTTTGGTGGAGAAGACGCTGCCCTTCCTCTCGTGATCTCAGCCAGCCTCCTGGCCCCCACTCTGCCAAGGCTGAGCAGCCCCTTCCCCACCCTCGTCCTTGCCTCCAGCAGCGTGACCGTGATCATGAACCAGGGCGGGGGGCAGCAGGTGTAACTGTCGTAGTACCACTTCCGGTCAATCTCCCGGGGCAGGGTCTCGTAGGCCACGTGGCGGATCAGTCGCTGGGAGAGGTTCAGCCCTTTCTCCTCCAGCAGCGCCTTACTACAGAGCCTGCGGTTCCCCTGCAGGATGGCCTGGCGGAAGCTGTTGGACCGCTTGTTGCTCATCTGCAGAGGACACAGGGTTGGGGACAGGGTTAGAACCAGGGTCTCAGGGGAGCCCCAACCCCTTTCCCAGCCAGGACAGTCCTTAGACCAGCCAGGCCTAATCTCGCCTTTCTCATTCTTCTGCCACACTTCACAAGAAGCAATATTCACTGAGCTCCTACGTGTCCTGGACTGTTCCAAGCCCTTCACATGTTGGTTCATGTGGCACAACTAGTTTGTACAAGGACTATGAATGTCCCTATTCTACTAGATGTGGAAACCAAGGCACAGAGATGGGCTTTGGGAACCCATCAAGTTCAAACTTAAGGCTCCTGAGCCTGTGTTCATATATTCACTAAACTTTCCTTCCATCCGCTCATCTCTCATCCATCCATCACAATTTCCTGAGCAACTACTAAGTGTCAGGCACATTGTCAGACACAGGGGACACAGGGGGCTGAAGACAGATGAGTAATCAGCAATCACCATTCAGAGTCAAGGCTGCTGCAGGAGCACACAGAAGGGAGCCCAGCCTGGTTTCAAGGTGGTCAGGGAGGGCTTCCTGGAGGAGGTGAAATCTGAGTAAGAACTGTAGGCCTTGGCATCCTCATAAACACTAGCTTGGGACGAGGTGGGCAGCCCTCGGGGACTTCCTCAGAACCAGAAACTAAAGCTGTGCCTGCAGAAGGTCCCTACTCCCAAGGGCCTTCAAGGAAGCCAGGCCTAAGGACTGGCCCTGCCCTTGGCACCCTGAGGATGCCTGACTCTGGAAAGCCCTGGCTGCCTGGTCTAGCAGTCAGCCTGGCTCCTAGAGAACAGAGGCAGCCTCGCTGACTCCCAGCCTCTTGAGGCCTCTGCCACCTCTCACCTGCCCTCCTTGACCTTGGTTATAGAAGAATGTCCTAGAGGCATGGTCCTCCCAGCCCCAGAGCCCACAGTACTGCTCAGGTGGCTGTTCCACATAGCTGGGGTGGGAATTATCAACATATTCCTGGGACCGTGAGCCCAGCAGTGGACATAAGGCTAAACCTGGAGGCAGCAGTCCAGAGAGGGCTGGCCAGGTGAACGGGGCCAGGCCAAGGCAGAGGGGCTTGAAGCCCTGTCATGGGAAGGCAGCAGCTGGGGAGGACCTGCCTGCAACCCAGGCCAGTGGGAAGCACTTCCCTCTGTTTGCAGTGTCCTTCTCCCTCCGGGGTTCTGCTATCTCATCTTTGAAATCTGCCTTAAATCCCCAAAGTGCCTTTCCCAGATGAACCCCTTCCAAGAGTCCCTGTTCTCACCTGCTCTGCATCTACAAAGCTTGGGCCTGGCTCCTTGCAGTGGCTCCTGTAAATCCAGGCAGGGTTTGGGCTCCATGTACACTGCAAGCCCAAGACCGGGTCATATTGGGAAGGATTTTGTAGCCACTCTTACCAGACTCTCTCCCAATCTCTGACTGAGCCTATGCACAGGGGCGTGCATTGCACACACACTCACATACCCACAGCCACACCCTGAAGACCGGTGGTGGGGACGGGCTTAGCAGGAGACCAGGAGGAGCACGGTGAGCATACACACACTCCCCACTCACCTGCACCTACTATGTGCTTAGACCTGTGTTAGGCGTGGTAGTGACCATGGTCTTGGGCCTCACAGAGCTTACAAGGAGAGACCATGTGTAAACAGCAGCAAAGGAGGGGGTCATCTCAGTTTTTGGTGCACAGCATTATACCCAGGTTGTGAGAATGGCCACCAGAGCTTGGAGAGTACTTCCTCAAGGACCTATAGTTAGTAAGCCAATCTCTTCTTCCAGGTGGCCGCACTCACGCCAGGCCTCACTGAACAAAGCCCAAGCAGGACTTCAGTCCCAGTCACCCCTCTGCCAGGCACCCTTGCCCAGCATGCAAGCTGCACACCCACACACGGCGACCCTGGCTACCTGGCTGTGGCGTGATGTGGTCTGAGCTGGAAGACAGGCCGGGCAATGCCCTGGGGGGGGGGTGGTTCTGAATCAGGCTGGTTTTCCCTGTCTGGATTGGGGTGAGGAAGGGCTCACAAAAGATGCAGAGCTTACCTGCTGGAAGAACACTATAGACAACAAAGTCTTTCAAATACCTCACCTTGTTTAATCCTTGCAACAACCCTCAAGAAGGTATCCTTTGGCTTCTTTTTACAAATGGGGAAACCAAGGCTCGGAGGAGTTTCCCCAGTGAGTGTGGCAAAGGCAGAGCCTGGAGAGGGACCAGGTCTGCCTGCCCCCAGGCCTCGAGCGCTCTGCCCAACCCAGAGCTTCCCTCCTGGTGACCGGTTCTTCGTCCTGGTCTCCGGGACGGCCCAGCTCACGTGAATCCAGGCGACAGCTGGCCGCTCCAGCTCAGAACTTACAGAAATCCCAACAGTGACAAGTAACCTGCTGTTGTGAGTTCACACAGAGGACCCCAGGATCTGCTTGCTGGAGACGAGCATCTCACGGGCCCAGCCACACCCTGACTCTGCTCTGGGACTTTGGGGTGTGTAGCAATCGTGCCTGTGCTGGGCTGGGACTGAGCCCGTGCAGGCTCAGACCTGTGGCTGGTCTTTGGTGGCACCGCTGGGCACTGAGGCCCATGGCCCACCCCCACGGCCTGCCCTGTGGATCCTGACTGCCCCCCATCCCCACCCGCATAGCTCAGATCTGTCCTCTGCCCTCTGGCAGGTCTGCTCCCTGGGTCCTCTCTGAACAGCAGCAGAATCTACCGCTGCTCCCTGCACTCGTGTTAATCTCCAGGCAAAGGCAGGTCCTCAGCCAAGAGGCAATTAAAATAAGTCCAAAATCTGGGCATCCACATCAGAGAGCTCAGCTGGCAGTGACAGGCATGAGTGGTGCCGACACCAGTGAACGTTACACCGGTCATTCACCTTCGCCCCCCCACTCCATGGGTGACAGGAGAGGTGACTATCTCCATTTCAACAGGGAAACCAAGGGCAGACTCCAGCCTTGTGTTCGTCCTGTTGTTTCATGTAGCGTCTACTGACATCCCAGCCATTCCACAGCAGGTGACATGATTCCTGTTAACCCCACTGAACTGCATTCCAATCTCACCCCAGCAAATACACTGGGGGCTACCCCAGTGGGACACTCTAAGACACCAGACCGTGGGCAGGATCCTTGGGCTTCCTGTCTCCATCCATCCAACAACCCGGGACAGCTGCCAGCAGGTCTGATGCGCTCCGGCCTTAACTGGTGTGCCTCATCACTCCTAGAGAGGTGTGGCCTGGGCCTTCCCACATCGACGCCCCAGGTCCTGTCCTGCCAATGATAACTCCCACCTCCCACTCCTGGCCCTTTGTTCTCGGTGGAACTGACCCCACTTCCAGCTCCAGACGTGGGCACTGATTGGTTCGAGTCAATGAACACATCCCAACTGACCCAGTCTGGGCCAATGGGAACAGAGGAAACCCTTTGTATGGGAGCTACCACAAGAAGAGTTCCTCTCTTTTCTTGATGATGAGGCCGGGGGGTGGGGTGTGAGGGCTGGCACAGCTGCAGCCACTTTGCTGCCACACTGGGAGGGGCTGGAACTGCCAGGGGCTTCTCAGAGTGTGGGTGGACACTGCAAAAGGCAGAATGGAGAGACAACGAGAAACCAGATCCTTGGCAATACCATGCTAAGCCTAGATTTTTCAATACTGTGGGCCAACAGAGCCCTTTAATTGTCCAAAAGGTTCCGAAGCCACAACCCTCACCCCAGAGCACTCACCAGGTTGACAAAATCCTGGTAGCAGATCTGCCCATCCGCATGGCTGTCGGCCAGAGCCAGGAGCACCTCCCTCTTGTGCGGGTCCAGCTTGGAGCTGTGGCTCTCCAGGAGGCTGCGAAATTTGCCTGTGCTGATGTAGCCTGTGTTCCCGGGGTCACACTGAGAGAGAAGCACAGACAAGCAGGGGCGTCCCCCTCTCAGCACTGGTGCAGGTACCCCCCCTCCACCGCCACTCACCAGCTCCTGTCCCCAGCCCTCTGCCAACAGAGGCCCAGGTGGTGCCTGGGGTGTTTCCAAGGTCCCCATGGGAAATGTCCAAATAGAGCTTGGACAAGCACTGAAAATCCTAGAAGGCCCTGGAGACCTTTGAGATCATCTCATCCACGGGTCTGGTGTGTGCGTAAGGAATCTGAGACTCAGAGAGGCTAAACTCCCTCCTCTCCACCCTTACTCCTGACTCCAGGCACAGGAAAGCAGAAATGAACAGGCACAATGAGCAGAGGAGGATGAGGGACTTCTGGGGCTAGGCCAGGGAGACTCCAGGGGGAATGTTCGAGGCCTGGGGAGCAGGGAGCGCAGCCCTGCCGGCCCCACAGCCCCACACACCGCGCAGGGCAGGGCTCTCCAGAGGCACTGTGCTCCGTGTTGGTCGTTTGTGGGCATCAACCTGCAGCCCTGTGCACACATGGGTCCCTCTGCCTAGAGTTCCCTTCTCCCTCACCTGCCTGGGAGAGCCTGACTCACCCTCTGCAGCTCCTTGGATGTCCCTGGCTCTGGAAGGGCTCCCCTGAGCCACGGTCTGCACCCTGTGCAGACCTCCAGCCCCACCCCGCACTGCTCTCTAAGTGCCTATGTTGACTCACTAGACTGCCGGCTCCTCAAAGGAAGCATCACAATGCATCCCCGGTGCTTAGCACAGAGCCCGGCATAGTGAGCACTTTACAACCAGTAAATATTTGTTGGGTGAATAAACAGCAGACGTTCAGCCCCGGCTGGTGTGGCTCAGTGGATTGAGCGCTGGCCTGCAAACGGAAAGGTTGCCTGTTCAATTGCCAGTTAGAGGAAATGCCTGGGTTGCCTTCCAGGTCCCCAGTTGGGGGCGTACAAGAGGCAACCGATGGATGTTTCTCTCTCACATCAACCTTTTTCTCCCTCTCTTTCTCCTTCTCTTCTCCTCTCTCTAAAAGTAAAATAAATAAAATAAAATATTTTTTAAAACCGTGGATGTTCGGATGAATAGATGGGTGCTAATTTTTCAAGGAAAGTCTCATCAGCACAGTCAGAAGGAATTTTATTCATCTCTCCCTGAGAAACCCATAACCCTCTGACCCTCTTCCACAGCCCCCCTTTCCTCCAAAACCCACTCAACGTCCGCCCACAGCACCCACCCTGCTGGGCAGAGATGCCACCCACCTCCTGTGGACGCCGAGAGCGTGTCTGTTCACGGGGCTTCCCCACTCGAGCTCGCTGCAGCCCGCAGACACTGCAGTGGGTGGCCGAGACTTTAAAAGGCAATCAGACGCCTCAGCATCCATGAGTGTGACAAGGGAGCCCAGAGGGCCACACCCACGTTCCTTCCTTCTCTAGATAAAGCCAGTGAGGACTATCTGAGGAAGGCTGACTCTGTGTGCAGCAGTTCTTAGGCAATACGGGAGAAACAAGCCAAGAGCACAAGTCAGGGGCCATTCCAGTTCTCCCCGGGGCTCAACAAGAGAGGACACCGCTAAGGAGGCCTACTCAAAACTCTGGGCCCTGGCTGGTGTGGCTCAGTGGATTGAGTGCGGGCTGGAAACCAAAGGGTCACCAGTTTGATTCCCAGCCAGGGCACATGCCTGGGTTGCAGGCCAGGTCCCCAGCAGGGGGCATGTGAGAGGCAACCATACATTGATGTTCCTCTCCCTCTTTCTCCTTCCTCTCTAAAAATAAATAAATAAATAATTAAAAACCCCACACCTCTGCGTGGGTCCCCACCCCCAACCCCAGGTCTCAGGGAGGTCACCTGTGTTCGCATGATAGAGGGTTTCAGAAAACTCAGCCGCCCTTGCTTCATCAAGGCCTTTCAGAATGAAAATACTTAGTGTGTGTTGTGTTTTCATGGGGCCAAACACTGTTCTAAGCACTTTACTTATTTTTTTTAAGATGTTATTTGTCTATTTTTGAGAGAGGGGAAGGGAAGGAGAAAGAGTGGGAGAGAAACATCCATGTGTGTGGTTGCCTTTTGCGCATCCCCTACTGGGGACCTGGCTTGAAACCCAGGCATGTGCCCTGACTGGGAATCAAACCAGCAAGCCTTCGACTGGCAGGCCAGCATTCCACCACTGCACCACACATTTCTTTGACTTCCTATAACAACCATATGAAGTAGGTCCTATTATTATCCCCATACTACAGACAAGGAAATAAAGGCACGGGAGAGGGGCACAGGGCCAGCAATCAGCAGCGCTGGGGCCCCACGCCCAGGCTGCTTTGCGCTGCCTCTGGTCACCCCCAACCTTCAGCCCTCAGAGCTGTCCTGCTGCTCTGCATTTAAGGGTCAAAGCGGTGAGCACTGATCCGGGAGAGGAGGGGCTCTAGGAGTCCCACAGGCCCGCTTGAAACAGAGACTTTTAAAGTGGAGAGGAGCCTAAAAAAGTCACAGTTCTGACATTATTCAAACGGGAAAGTGAAGCCCGGAGAGGCAGAGTGGCCACGTCAGCAGGGAGGGGCCACCTTCTCTGGTGCCTGGGGCCCCTCCCATCCCCCTTGGAGGACTCACTGGCCCGGCCTAGTTGCACATGGCCCTCGAGCTGGGTGGGCTGATGGGGGATGAGGGAGGGGGTTAAGAGGCAGCCCCGAGTCCTGGGAAAATCCATCCTCCGCCCCCAGCGAGCACTGCTGGAGGGCAGCAGTCCCCCTGCACATCGGGGAGTCTCTCCTGCCGCAGTCCAGGGGGAGGAAGCCCATTGGCCTTGCATTTGATGGGAGCAGAGATGCTGATCCCCTCTCAGGGGCTCCCTGGAGGCTGGGGTGGGGGCCGTGGGGCGGAGGGGCTGAGATCAAGCAAGGGCCCCTCTCCTTCACTCCAGCTCCAGACAAAGAACCACCTGCTCCCCGCTCCCCCTCCCGGGCTCCCTGCTGTTGTCCCAGTCACAGGGGCTGCCCTGTGGCTCCCCAAGCCCCCACCCCCGCCGTGGCCTGCCAGTCCTGCCCCAAGCACGTACAGGCTCCAGGCTGCTGAGAATGAGCTGGAATGAGGCCGAGCCTCCCTTCTCTGCCAAAACCCTACCTTTCAGTGCCAGAGCCAGACAGGCCAGACAATGGGGGTCATCGCTACCCTAATAATGAGGCCTCAGGGACGAAGGAGGCTGACTAATGGGGAGGGACAGGCAGGATGGGGCCGGCTGCCTGGGCTCCACAAAATGTACACAGGACACCTTCCAAACCACCTGGGAAAATGAGGACAAGAGCAGAGGCTGACAGTGAGCATGGGGCACAGGGGCAGGCGGGAGGCAGAGACAGAAAGTGGGAGACCAAGGGGAAGGAAACACAGAGCGACCACAGAGAGGGTGTGTGTAGAGGGGAGTGGGACCCACTGCCCAGGAGGGAAGCTGAAAGCTTCAAAAGAGGCTGCAAGGAGCAAGGCGAAATCCCCATCTTGCCTCTGCCACTACCTAGTTTGTGTCGTTTGGGGTAACCATCTGGAGCCATAATCACCTCATCTATCAAGCAGGGCAGTGTCCCCTCGGGTCACGGTGGGTGAAGCAAACACAGGGCAGCACTATCTGGGGCCCAGGGTCATCCGAGGTCCAGCTCCATCGCAGCACAGCTGGGAGCACCCCAGTGACGGGGGGCCTGGTTGGCCCTTGGGGACACACTCCCTTCAAGGTCAGCTATGGGGCATGAGATCCCAGCAGCACTGTGGCTTGGAGCTTTTGTGGATACAAAGCTCTCTGTCCTTGAAGCCCCATGTTCTGGATTCGCCCACTTTCGGCAGTGGGGTGCTCTCGGGATGGTCTGGCTGGGTGGGTTGGAGGAAGCCTGCCCAGGGCTGGTCTGGGGGTGGTGGGTGGGCCGCAGGCAGGGCCCCCCAGGAAAGCCAGGAGTCGTGAGCATCCTAGCAGCTGCCTCCTGAATAGGGCGGAGAGTGCAGTGCAGGGAGGGGGGGCTAAGTCCACATTCAGCTGAGTGAAGGGCACTGGGGACTGAGGGAGAGACACAAAATGAGGGGCTGCCCCCCGCAGCTCCTGCCCACCTGCCTCAGACCTGAAAAGAGCTGTGAGAGGCTCCGAGGGGACCTTAATCCCACCAGCACCCAGCCCTCTGGCCCCTTAATCCTCCACATCATCGCCTGAGCCTGGGCCCCACACGCGGTCAGCCACACAGCCCACCCGGGACCCCGTCCTAGTGCACGTACGGCCGAAGCTGGGAAAAGGACCCACCAAATCCTTTCTGTATTGGTGCCATTTGGGCCCTTCCCCCCTCTCCGGGGCAAGGAGCAAGGAGAGTTCCAGAAGGAACCCCTCCTCTAGCGCTATGCCGCCCGGGCAGATCCCTCGGCACACGGCCTCCATTTCTCCATCAATCACGTGGCAGCAACCCTCCCTCTCCAGGGGAGTAAGGGGGTGCCCCCCACCCCACAGGCACAGCGTGTGCAGATGGGGGTGGGGGAAGAGAAAGCCCAGCCCGAACAGCCCGTGGGGGTAGCTGATCTATTCTGTACCAAAGGGTGATGGGACACTCAGAATCAGGAGAGGCAGCGCTACATTGGGGGGGGGGGGGCACAGGTGTTGGGGGCGAGGTCTGTGCTGTCGCCTGGTGACCCTGGGGAGAAAGGTCAGGGAATCAGAACCCATGGTCCAGGAGAGCTGAGAGGAACCACCCTGCACGTGTGATCTGCATAAACGACATTTCCAGGGCGACTACCTGCCCAGTCCCGGGTCCCAGGAGGACCCTCTCCCTACCCCTGACCTAGAGAGGTTTTTGCACCCCTGTGCAGACTCCTAGGGGCTGTGACAGGACCTCTGAGACACAGTGGTGGGAAGCGGGGGTTCTGAGCATCCCGCCCCTGCCAGAGCAGCCGCACTCTGAGCTGTGTCACGCATTGGCCTTCTGCGCCCTGCCTGGTTCAACAGCACAGCAGGAGCCGTGTCTGCTGGGAACAGGCGCTGCCCATCGAGGCC